CTTCAGCTATACAGCTAGCTTCTTCAGCTATACAGCTAGCTTCTTCAGCTATACAGCTAGCTTCTTCAGCTATACAGCTAGCTTCTTCAGCTATACAGCTAGCTTCTTCAGCTATACAGCTAGCTTCTTCAGCTATACAGCTAGCTTCTTCAGCTATACAGCTAGCTTCTTCAGCTATACAGCTAGCTTCTTCAGCTATACAGCTAGCTTCTTCAGCTATACAGCTAGCTTCTTCAGCTATACAGCTAGCTTCTTCAGCTATACAGCTAGCTTCTTCAGCTATACAGCTAGCTTCTTCAGCTATACAGCTAGCTTCTTCAGCTATACAGCTAGCTTCTTCAGCTATACAGCTAGCTTCTTCAGCTATACAGCTAGCTTCTTCAGCTATACAGCTAGCTTCTTCAGCTATACAGCTAGCTTCTTCAGCTATACAGCTAGCTTCTTCAGCTATACAGCTAGCTTCTTCAGCTATACAGCTAGCTTCTTCAGCTATACAGCTAGCTTCTTCAGCTATACAGCTAGCTTCTTCAGCTATACAGCTAGCTTCTTCAGCTATACAGCTAGCTTCTTCAGCTATACAGCTAGCTTCTTCAGCTATACAGCTAGCTTCTTCAGCTATACAGCTAGCTTCTTCAGCTATACAGCTAGCTTCTTCAGCTATACAGCTAGCTTCTTCAGCTATACAGCTAGCTTCTTCAGCTATACAGCTAGCTTCTTCAGCTATACAGCTAGCTTCTTCAGCTATACAGCTAGCTTCTTCAGCTATACAGCTAGCTTCTTCAGCTATACAGCTAGCTTCTTCAGCTATACAGCTAGCTTCTTCAGCTATACAGCTAGCTTCTTCAGCTATACAGCTAGCTTCTTCAGCTATACAGCTAGCTTCTTCAGCTATACAGCTAGCTTCTTCAGCTATACAGCTAGCTTCTTCAGCTATACAGCTAGCTTCTTCAGCTATACAGCTAGCTTCTTCAGCTATACAGCTAGCTTCTTCAGCTATACAGCTAGCTTCTTCAGCTATACAGCTAGCTTCTTCAGCTATACAGCTAGCTTCTTCAGCTATACAGCTAGCTTCTTCAGCTATACAGCTAGCTTCTTCAGCTATACAGCTAGCTTCTTCAGCTATACAGCTAGCTTCTTCAGCTATACAGCTAGCTTCTTCAGCTATACAGCTAGCTTCTTCAGCTATACAGCTAGCTTCTTCAGCTATACAGCTAGCTTCTTCAGCTATACAGCTAGCTTCTTCAGCTATACAGCTAGCTTCTTCAGCTATACAGCTAGCTTCTTCAGCTATACAGCTAGCTTCTTCAGCTATACAGCTAGCTTCTTCAGCTATACAGCTAGCTTCTTCAGCTATACAGCTAGCTTCTTCAGCTATACAGCTAGCTTCTTCAGCTATACAGCTAGCTTCTTCAGCTATACAGCTAGCTTCTTCAGCTATACAGCTAGCTTCTTCAGCTATACAGCTAGCTTCTTCAGCTATACAGCTAGCTTCTTCAGCTATACAGCTAGCTTCTTCAGCTATACAGCTAGCTTCTTCAGCTATACAGCTAGCTTCTTCAGCTATACAGCTAGCTTCTTCAGCTATACAGCTAGCTTCTTCAGCTATACAGCTAGCTTCTTCAGCTATACAGCTAGCTTCTTCAGCTATACAGCTAGCTTCTTCAGCTATACAGCTAGCTTCTTCAGCTATACAGCTAGCTTCTTCAGCTATACAGCTAGCTTCTTCAGCTATACAGCTAGCTTCTTCAGCTATACAGCTAGCTTCTTCAGCTATACAGCTAGCTTCTTCAGCTATACAGCTAGCTTCTTCAGCTATACAGCTAGCTTCTTCAGCTATACAGCTAGCTTCTTCAGCTATACAGCTAGCTTCTTCAGCTATACAGCTAGCTTCTTCAGCTATACAGCTAGCTTCTTCAGCTATACAGCTAGCTTCTTCAGCTATACAGCTAGCTTCTTCAGCTATACAGCTAGCTTCTTCAGCTATACAGCTAGCTTCTTCAGCTATACAGCTAGCTTCTTCAGCTATACAGCTAGCTTCTTCAGCTATACAGCTAGCTTCTTCAGCTATACAGCTAGCTTCTTCAGCTATACAGCTAGCTTCTTCAGCTATACAGCTAGCTTCTTCAGCTATACAGCTAGCTTCTTCAGCTATACAGCTAGCTTCTTCAGCTATACAGCTAGCTTCTTCAGCTATACAGCTAGCTTCTTCAGCTATACAGCTAGCTTCTTCAGCTATACAGCTAGCTTCTTCAGCTATACAGCTAGCTTCTTCAGCTATACAGCTAGCTTCTTCAGCTATACAGCTAGCTTCTTCAGCTATACAGCTAGCTTCTTCAGCTATACAGCTAGCTTCTTCAGCTATACAGCTAGCTTCTTCAGCTATACAGCTAGCTTCTTCAGCTATACAGCTAGCTTCTTCAGCTATACAGCTAGCTTCTTCAGCTATACAGCTAGCTTCTTCAGCTATACAGCTAGCTTCTTCAGCTATACAGCTAGCTTCTTCAGCTATACAGCTAGCTTCTTCAGCTATACAGCTAGCTTCTTCAGCTATACAGCTAGCTTCTTCAGCTATACAGCTAGCTTCTTCAGCTATACAGCTAGCTTCTTCAGCTATACAGCTAGCTTCTTCAGCTATACAGCTAGCTTCTTCAGCTATACAGCTAGCTTCTTCAGCTATACAGCAAGCTTCTTCAGCTATACAGCTAGCTTCTTCAGCTATACAGCTAGCTTCTTCAGCTATACAGCTAGCTTCTTCAGCTATACAGCTAGCTTCTTCAGCTATACAGCTAGCTTCTTCAGCTATACAGCTAGCTTCTTCAGCTATACAGCTAGCTTCTTCAGCTATACAGCTAGCTTCTTCAGCTATACAGCTAGCTTCTTCAGCTATACAGCTAGCTTCTTCAGCTATACAGCTAGCTTCTTCAGCTATACAGCTAGCTTCTTCAGCTATACAGCTAGCTTCTTCAGCTATACAGCTAGCTTCTTCAGCTATACAGCTAGCTTCTTCAGCTATACAGCTAGCTTCTTCAGCTATACAGCTAGCTTCTTCAGCTATACAGCTAGCTTCTTCAGCTATACAGCTAGCTTCTTCAGCTATACAGCTAGCTTCTTCAGCTATACAGCTAGCTTCTTCAGCTATACAGCTAGCTTCTTCAGCTATACAGCTAGCTTCTTCAGCTATACAGCTAGCTTCTTCAGCTATACAGCTAGCTTCTTCAGCTATACAGCTAGCTTCTTCAGCTATACAGCTAGCTTCTTCAGCTATACAGCTAGCTTCTTCAGCTATACAGCTAGCTTCTTCAGCTATACAGCTAGCTTCTTCAGCTATACAGCTAGCTTCTTCAGCTATACAGCTAGCTTCTTCAGCTATACAGCTAGCTTCTTCAGCTATACAGCTAGCTTCTTCAGCTATACAGCTAGCTTCTTCAGCTATACAGCTAGCTTCTTCAGCTATACAGCTAGCTTCTTCAGCTATACAGCTAGCTTCTTCAGCTATACAGCTAGCTTCTTCAGCTATACAGCTAGCTTCTTCAGCTATACAGCAAGCTTCTTCAGCTATACAGCAAGCTTCTTCAGCTATACAGCTAGCTTCTTCAGCTATACAGCTAGCTTCTTCAGCTATACAGCAAGTGGTGGCGGGGAGAAATTGCGTGTCCTGGGCATGGTGGCGCACGATCTTTGGCGTTTCAAAACATCTCTTTTATCACGTGAACTTGCATGTCCAGGGCATGGTGGCGCACGATCTTTAGCTAAAACCTTCAGGCGAATTCAAGCTTGCTGCTGATCGAACCGTTTCAACTCTGGGCATGATGGCGCACGAGCTTTCTCCCGGCCACCGCTTGCTGCAGCAGCAGGGGCTGTCTTTCAGTGCTGCTCCCATCCCCCCAACCCCCTTGCCCCCTTTCCCCCCACGCCCACCATTCCCTCTTTCCCAAAGCAGCTTCTTCAGCTATGCCCTGGACACGCGCATTGCTCCGAGGCACCGCCTGTTGCAGCAACAAGGGCTGTCGTTCAGCCTCAGGCACATGTTGTGCTGCTCTGATGAGCTGTTTCTTGAGCGGGTTAAATGGGCGCTGGAGGGGAGAGAGGAGGGTGGGAGTGAAGAGGGAAGTGGTTTGGAAGGAGAAGAGGAAGGGGAACAAAGGGAGGAATCAATGGAGGAGGGGGGAGAGGAGGAAGATGGGGAAAGAAGGGTGGAGGGGAAGAGAGCAGGCTCAGGTTAGTGTGGTGGAGAGTTCAGGAGGAGACACAAGCTACCGGTATGCTGGAGACACAAGGATGCACTATTTCTGTTACGTCTCAAATCCCAGGGCAGTGTGATGGAGAGTTGAGCAGGAGACACAAGCTATGCTGCTCTGATGCGCTGCTTCTGGGACCAGGTTTAGGGTGCTGAAGGAATCGTTGTTACTGGGCTTGATTACTGTCTGTCACGTGATTCTCTCTGTATGTAACATCGCAACAGTATCTAAAAACGACTCTTCTCACCCCCTGCATTTTTCAAGGCTGTGACATCCAAACAGCAAGCGCATTTGCTTGCATCACTAATGATATTTCATGAACTTTGCACATCAATATTATTTTCTTGTGTAAGTCCCTCTCTCACTGTGGAAGAGACGTAGGTAGGTATATCGTGTACATCAATCCAAACACCAACCAGCCCACTCTCTCTTGATGTCTCCATTCTAAAGAGACGTACGAGCAACAAGAATCAGCATCAAGTCCGGCCAGCCCAGTTTCTGTTTCGCTTCATCTTGGCCTGCATCCTGTTTATCTTCTCCTTGCCCTTCTCTAAGGAATGGTTCTTCAATCAGTACTAACAAGAATGCAGATCTCCATCAATCCAGCGACCGGCCAGCCAGCTCACTCTCTGTTGCGCTTCTTCATCTCAGCTTGCATCTTGTTGACCTTCTCCTTGTCCTTCTCCAATAGAGAGTTATGCACCGCAAAGGGTACTAAACACCCAGTGGAACTCCTTCAAACATCCTCCATACCGATCCAAATCAGTCCAGTGACCGGCCAGCCCACTCCCTGATCCTTCTCTTCATCTTAGCTTGCATCTTGTTGAACTTCTCCTTGCCCTTCTCCAGCAGCGGATCGTGCACCGCGTACTGATCCGGGTCATCATTTCTAAGCATCTCGTCCTGATGGAGTCAAGCAAGGAACCATACAAGGATTAGCAAAAAGAAACGAGAGGAGACTTGGGATATCAAGCACCGCATACTGGTCCGGGCCGTCGTTGCGAAGCATCTCGTCCTGATGGTGTGAAGCAAGGGACACATGAAGCGCATACGATGAGCAAGAAGCAGACAGTGTCTTTTGAGGAGCCCCAAGAGACATGCAGAAGCAGAAGCAGCAACAGGGAAGAGAGAAAGAGTGTGAAGCTGGAATATCCATCAGAGGAACAGCAACAGTAACCAGCAAAGCAGGAGCGACAGCAAGAAGAGAGCAAGTGTCAGGAATAAGGGCGGAGAAAAACAAAAATCATTCCCTCCTAGTTCCAACACCAAAAGCATTATCCGCTTGTTCCTCTTCGCTTGGCAATTCAACCTGTGAGCCATTTAATCCAATCCATCCCCACCTCCCTCCTCTTGCTGTGAGATGCGCCCCCACCCCACCCCACCACCCGCACCCCCATACCCCTACACCCCCACAATCCCGACTCAGTACACCATCTGCAACTCACCCGCTTGTTTCTTTTCACTTCAAACTTCAACCTGTGAGCCATCCAGTCCAATCCACCAGCACCCCCCTCCTCATCCTCCTCCTCTCCCTCCCCTCCCACATCCTGCCTTGCCTTCCCCCCTGGCCCATATGCCGCTGCTCCTGGCCCCTTCCCTTGCAAATCCGACGACCCTCGCTGTCTGCTGCCCTCCTTGCTGCTGCTCCCGTCCCTGCCGCTCTCTCCTTCCCTCGCCCTCTCTCTCCGGTCCGCTCTCATCTCATCTGCACCCTCCTCCTTGTCTTTGTCTGCGCGTGTCTCGCTCGGCTGTACTGCCTTGGATGCTGCCAGCTTTGATTTAAAGCGATTTAAAAGCTCAAGGGTCTGGGGGAGGGACCAGGGTGGAATGAGGGAAGGACAAGGGAGGGACGAGGGGGGGACGAGGGAAGGACAAGGGAGGGACGAGGGGGGGACGAGGGAGTGGAACCAGAATGAGGAATGACTGCTCAAAAGGCCCAACGCTCATGCAGCCCCGCGCTTTGGGCACTCTGTTTGAATACCAAGTTAATTCCACAAAGATACGGAAATATTTGAATTCAACGTAAAGGTAATGCTAAAAAGCCAGCTTACAACTTTACCCAATCTATCTCGACCTCGAGCCATTTCACATAGCGCATCCCTTTACCCCACATCCCTTAACCCCACATCCCTTAACCCCACATCCCTTTACCCCACATCCCTTTACCCCACATCCCTTTACCCCACATCCCTTCACCCCACATCCCTTTACCCCACATCCCTTTACCCCACATCCCTTAACCCCACATCCCTTAACCCCACATCCCTTTACCACACATCCCTTTACCCCACATCCCTTTACCCCACATCCCTTTACCCCACATCCCTTTACCCCACATCCCTTTACCCCACATCCACGCACCACAGAGCTCGTTTCCTCTGCCTCTTCTGCTGCCGCCTCTCCTCCTCCTCCTCCTCCTCCTCCTCCTCCTCCTCCCCCCCCAGCGACCCTCCTCCCAGTGATTCACACAGATCCTTCAGCCTTTCCCCCTTATCTCTCACTCACTCACCTTCTCTTGTCTCGACCCCAGAGCTCGTTTCCTCTGCCTCATCTGCTGCCGTCTCTCCTCCTCCTCCCCCAGCAACCCCCCTCCCGCTGTCCCCCCTCCTCCTTCCCCCTCCCCTCCTCCCTTCCCAACTCCCTTCGCCCCTTTCCTCAATCGCAGCTTCTCTACCCTCACCCTCCCCTTTCCTCCTCTCCCCCCCTCTTCCTCATCACTCCCATCACTACCATCACTGTCACCACTCCCATCCTCATCCTCCTCCTCCTTTCTTCGTTCCTCCTTTGCTCGTCCCCTTTTTCCCTGCTCCCCTGTGTCGGCACCATCCTGGTTCCTCCTTGCATTCCCCTCCCTCTCCCCTCCCTCTCCCCTCCCTTTCCCCTCCCTCTCCCCTCCCTCTCCAACTCCTCCTCTCCCTGCTTTCTCCCCTCTCCGCCCCCCTTCACTCGCACCCCCATGTTTCCCAAACCTTCTCTGTTTCTCCAACACCCTTCTCCTCATCAGCTCATCAAAACTCGCTTCCTCCCCCTCATCTTCCCCTTCCCCCTCACCTCCCCTCTCTCCCTCACCTCCTCTCTCCTCCCTGCCTCTCCTCTCCCTTCCCCTTTCCTCTCCCTTCTGACCTCTCATGATCCCATCCTCACCACCTGCTCTCTCCCTGTGTCTGTCGTTGTCTCTCCCTCTAAGAAGCCTCTCCCCTTCTCTATCCCCTTCTCTCTCCCTTTCTCTTCCCCCCTCTCTTCGCCCATTCTCCTCGTCTTCCTCATCCCCTTCTGCGTCCCCTCCCCGTCCGGCCAGCTTCTGTTGAACTGCCTCCGCTGTTTCCTGGGCGTAACACAGCGAAGTGAAAGAAAATAAAATAAAGCAACGGCCAGGAAAGGGGGGGGTAGCGTTTTAGAACAGAGAACAGCATGACAAAAGAGAAGTTCCCTCTGCGGTCTGGGTGATGGCAAGACCAACGGTCAGGGCGACAGGTGACCGGGCATGGGGGAAGGGCCACGGAAGATCTGAGATGGAGGATGGGGGATGGGGGAAGGGGGAAGGGGGATGAAGCTTGAGGATGGATGATGGGTCTTTCTCTTGTACCGCTCTCATGACCCAATCGACCTCGCCCTTCGCCTCCCCTCCATTCCCATCCCTTGCTCTTCCCGCCCTTCCTTCCCTCGCCATTCCCCTTCCACGCCCTTCCCCTCCCTCGCCCTTCATATTTGTCGTCTTATGAGACATGAGTCAGGGAAAAAACAACTCGCTGCTCGTGTCTCGTAAGACAACAAATATGAAGGGCGGGGGAAGGGAAGGGCAGGGAAGGGGACGAGCGAGGGAAGGGAGAGAGAGGAGGGGAAAGACGAGGACGATTGGCACATGAGAGCGGTACAAGAGAAAGACCCATCATCCATCCCCAAACTTTCATCCCCTTTCCCACTTCCCCCATCCGCCATCCTCCATCACCCATCCCCCAATGCCCCATCCCCCATCCCAGATCTCCCATGGCCCTTCCCCCATCCCCCATCACCTGTCGCCCTGACCATTGGTCTGGCCATCACCCAGAGCGTGGCAGGATGCAAGTTCCCAAGTTCCCCTACCCCTCAACTGACTCACAGCCAGCAGGCGAGGGTCTTTGAGCACGTCGTGGCTGCTCCTCATCCTCAGATTCGCTTCCTCCAATTGAGCCTCCTCCTCCTCCGCCTCCTCTCCAAACGACAGCAGATTCAATTGCCTGAGGAGCAAGAGTAGGGTGGAACAGGGAGTTGAATGAATGTGCAAGAGAAAGGCAATACAGCCCAAAACAGGTCAAGAGGGTCAAGATGCCTCTGCACTGTTGCTTCCGCTTATCCTTGCCCCTGCCTCTGCTCCTCTTCTTGGTCACTACTTGCTGCTGCTATTTTCTAGCCGGATGTATGCATCAACCCTTAGCTCAGCAGCTCAACTTACTTGGTTCCCTTGACTTGAGATTGCTGCTGCCTGCGCTTCTCCTTGTCCCTGCCTCGGCTCTTCGCCGCGGTTTCTTGTTGCTGTCTAGCAGGCAGCGTCCTGGGAACGATGTCCTCGAATGGGTTCCAGATGACCTGAAAGGAAGGAAGGGAGGGAGGGTTTTACAGAGGATAGGAATGATGCCCTGCTGCAGCTCGTAGGAATGATGAGCTCAAATGCGTCCCAAATGACCTGCAATTCAATGAGGTGATTGGTTGAGATATGATTGAGATGACACAATACAGGTAGTACCACACAGTGTGGTACGGTACAAACTCACCATAACCACACGCGCATTACACACTGTTGAACACTGGACAGGACACCATGCTGACTCATCATGCCAACTCAACATGTTGACTCATCATGCTGACTCACCTCCACGCTGATTATCGACGGCGGGTCAAAAGGCCTGTCATTGTCGTCAGTATCCACCTCCCCCAGTCGCACCGCATTGAAGATGGTGTCTCCTGTGACCTGCGGGGTGTGTGGGCGTGAAAGGTGCATGGGCCAAAGTGAGGGAAACGGGGCAATGTGACGAAAAAGGCCTGCAGGAGCCATCAGTATCCACCTCCCCCAGTCGCACCGCGTTGAAGATGGTGTCTCCTGTGCTCTGCCAGGTGTGTATGTGTAGGTAACCTGTACTGAACACCTTAAACACTCGCCCACCTTTCCAAACATTGTATGTTTCTTGTCCAGCCAGTCACAGAGATCAAGCGTGAAGAACGACTGGCTGCTGTTGCTGTGTGAGGGGCGCCAGCATTGGTACCTCAACACAACAGCGCTGTGCCTCCCCCCCATATGCCTGCCATACCATGCCATGCCTCTTCACCACACCCTGCTAAAGCTGGTAACCCACCGCACCTTGCCAAAGATGGTGTGTTTCTTGTCCAGCCAGTCACAGCGGTCGAGAGTGAAGAACCACTGGCTTCCGTTGCTGTGGGGCGCGCCTGCATTGGCGCACGCCACGAGGCCGCGGTGGGAGAAGCGCAGGCGCGAGTGGAACTCGTCTTTAAACGGTTCCCCATAAATTGACTCTCCTCCTGTGCCCGATCCCGTTGGATCTCCTCCCTGTGATGAAGGTGGAGCGAGAGTTGAGGGGGTCAAAGAAGAGGGAGAAGCGCAGGCGCCAGTGGAATGAAGCTCCTTATTAAAGGGCTCCCTGTGGATAAATTCCATTCCAATCTTGTGCCGGATCCTGTGAGGTCGCCTCCCGATGTTGTGGGAGGGGAGGAGGGATGGAGGCTTGAGAAGGCACCCAAGAAGAGGGAGTGGATGAGGTAAGGAACAAAGGCAGGAGCCCAGGCGTGAGTGGAACTCGTCCTTGAAGAGCTCCTCATAGATGGACTCGCCTCCTGGGCCTGACCCGGTTAAGTCTCCCCTCTGCGGTGAGGGAGAATCGGGAGTGGAGGGAGTGGGAAAAGAGGGAGTGGGAAAAGAGGGAGTGGGAAAAGAGGGAGTGGGAAAAGAGGGAGTGGGAAAAGAGGGAGTGATTGAAGAATGACAGCAAATGGAGAAGCGCACGCGCAAGTGAAACTTGTCCCTGATAGCCTTCCCGTGGATCGACTCGCCTCCTCCTGTGCCTGAACCTGCGGGATCGTCTCCCTGTTGTGTGGGAGGAGAGGAGGGGAAGAGGCGAAGCAAGCAAGGAGAGGGAGTGGAAGAGGCAAGGAAGCACAGAGAGAAGCGCAGGCGTGAGTGCAAGCAAATCGTCCTTGAAGGGCTACCCGTAGACGGACTCGCCCCCTGTCGCGCTTCCGGTTGGATCTCCACCTTAGAACGTGAGAGGCGGGGGAGTGGATAATGATGAGGTTGATGACTGCATGCGGCACCGCTGACCTCACCTGCACCATGAAGCCAGAGATCAGGCGGTGGGAAACGAGTTTTGAGCCATTTCGGAATCAGTTATACCTGCACCAGGTGTGTTAACTGGACCAGGTATTACCTGCACCAGGTCTTAATTGGACCAGGTATTACCTGCACCAGGTGGTGATTCTACCAGGTATTACCTGCACCAGGTCTCACCTGCACCAGGTCTCACCTGCACCATGAAGCCAGTTATGATGCGGTGGAAGATGGTCTTGTCGTAGTATCCCTCCAGTCCATATACAGCTGCACGAAACTGTAACTGTGGATTCTGCGTGTATTGTTCACTTTCTCAAAGTAAGTCCCAACTGCAACGAGTGTTACCTGCACCAGGTCGCACCTGCACCATGAAGCCAGGGATGATGCGGTGGAAGATGGTCTTGTCGTAGTATCCCTCCAGACACAGCTGCACAAAATTCCGCACCTGACAGGGGATGATGAGGAGTGACGAGGAGTGATGACGGGTGATGAAGGGCGATGAGGGGCGATAAGGGACAATGAGGGGTGATGAGGGGTGATGGCGGAGAGGAGCAAAGGGGAACGAGGATAAAGAAGGCGAGCCTCACCACTCTCGCGGCTTCACGTGGTTGCAATTGTGCCATTCAGCTACCCTGAACGTTCGATCTCAAGGCCCCACAAGGCGGATTTCTGGTTACCACAGTCGCAGTTACCACGACCGTGAACTCCAAACGCTGCGCGCTTCGGCGGCATTACGGGAAGCAAGGAAACATCAGGATCACCCGAGGCGGTGGTCGTGATAATTGCAGCGATGGTCACCATGGCTGTTACAACGGTACTGGTTACCAGAGTCGTGCTGCCTGCTGGGAAGAACGAAGAAATTGCTGCTCTCGGAACTTCCTGCATTCAGAGCTCGACCGAGGCTGCCCGATGTGCTGGTTACCATTGCCTGTTTCAATGGTACTGGTTACCAGGGTTCTGCTGTCCGAAAAGGGAAAATCGTACCGCTTTCGGAGCTTCACGAGGCCAGAGCTCGATATCAAGGTCGCCCAAGGTGGTGGTAATTACCACCTTGCCTTGCGTCGGTGGCTCGAGCACGTATATGCTCGACATGGTTGCTTCTAGTAGCCCCCACTACTGTCACAAACCTTTACTGTCACCCGCCACTTAATCTAGCAATGCGCGAATGGTTTTACGCAATAGGAGGACGGACTGTGGGTGTGTGGGCCTAATTACGCTGTGAGAGGAACTAGTAAGCGGAACGTCCTCTACATACGCTGCCCAGTCACTTCGCCTGGCTTCGACAAGGTGCGATTCGAGGCAAGGAGTTTGGCAAGCTTGAGATAACAGGCAACGAGATTAGTGCCCTCGATTATGACGAGGATCTGGCTGGGAAAATTGGGTTGATCCAACGCCTACTGAAATAAAAACGTGATTTTATATTTGCACCCCGAAGGCGCTTGAACTGTTGAAGGCGTTTTCATATCGAGGATACAATTCTGCCAGTTCAGAGTTCTGACAGCGTGTCTCCGCAACATCCATGTCAGCGCCAGCGCGCACGTTTATTTCTCGCCGCACCTCTCTCGTGCATGCCGAACCAGCCCTGCTGGCGACGGCCCAGTGTGATGTGTTGGTCACGATTGGCTTAGCTGGAGAACAACGGCAACCACGCAGGCTCGGAAAAACCGAGTCTTCTCGAAGGCAAAAAGCTCCATTCAAGCTGAGGGCGTGTACCAAAAACTTCTGAACACGCGTTGTGACCTTTCACTTCAACGGGAGACACTTCGAGCCTTTGTAGCCAAAGCAGGCCGTAACAAATTTCACACCTTGGAAATTTCGTACTACTTCAAGTTCGGCTAGCACTGATCGCGCCTCAGATTGAGGAAAAAGCACCACCACAAAACCATGAGCAGACTTCTGCTTCGTTCATTGGGTGATCCAGCCAGCAGTAACAATAGTCACAACCTAGAAACTGCGCGTTTCTCTCGTTCGTCTTGATCACAAGAGCTCCCTCGATTCCGTGTCGCGTTTCTTATCCCATTGATCGTTCAGGGCTGAAAATTAGGAAGGAATTATAGAGGCTACCATTACTATGGCCAGAGTACAGAGTAATAACAGGACGGAAACAGAGACTTAGTGGTAGACTGAAGGCCAGAGGCCGGTTTCCGTTTGATTTTTCCTGTTTTTTTTGTTTCAAAAGACTTCCCTCTTCAGCAGCGAAGGATGCAGCGGATAGTGGATCACGCCGTAGGCGTCGCCAAGGAGTAAGTTCCGCTTTAATTTATTTACGCAGCATGCCATGGAAGCCGCTGATGTCATCCAGGTCAGAGCTCAGGTGTCAGGAATTCGAATTCTGAAGCACCTTGAAATTATCATTTCAGCATCCATATTTTAAAGTCGAAGCTCCGAAGTTCAGGCGGGAAGCGGGATCCCTCGCGTATCCGTGTTGAGGTGCCTTCTGAGTCCACTCAAAAGTCGCTTAGAGTCTGCTACACGGATACAAAAACGGCGTCTGCTATTTTGTCGCCGTTTTCGTTCGTTAGGAGGTTCGCCCGTCAAGACGGCGCCTGCTTGGCGTTTCAGAATGCGTCAAATCTTGTGCTGGCGTGCCGCCCATCACAAAAAAAATGGCACATGAAGTCAACCATTTCCCGTCACGTTTTCTGTCCAACAGATCCGTCAAAGCCGCATCTCGCGAGGCGTTTCACAACACGGCCAACTTCGTCAACTCGGCGTCAGCGCTGGTGCTGGCGTGTCTGCCCAACAAGTCGCCCATCACTGAAGGTCTCCATGGCTCTTGGGATCTCCGCCCTAACTTCCGCTCCCCGCGCCTCCCCGCCTGGATGGCTCAGTACGTTCCCGTAGTTGCTGGGGGGGAAGGGGGAGGGGGCTGGGGAGAGATTTATAGAAGAGGGAACGGAAGGTATTCTTTGTCCTACCGTCCGTCCGCTCCCTGCGCCTCCCTGCCTGGATGGCCCAGTACGTTCAGCTCCAACCCTTTGTTTCTATCCTGTCTTCAGTTCTCCTGGTATTCTCTCCCCTCCCCTGCTCTGCCCTCCCCTCCCCTGCTCTGCCCTCCCCTTCCCTGCTCTGCCCTCCCCTCCCCTGCCACCAGAGGCGGTTCCTCCCTGAACGCCTTTCTACACGAGTTCGTCGACACTATAGACGAGTTTCACCTCGACTCCAGCTCCAACTACGGTAACGAGGACGACGAAAACGAGGACAGCGACGCGGATAGCGAGGAGGACAATAACGAGGATGAGGATGACAGGGCGTCCGTGCTCAGCATCGGCAGCAGCAGCAGCAGGGGAGAAGGAGGAGGAGTAAGAAGGAGGAGGAGGAGCGTGGGTGGTGGTGGAGGAGGAGGAAGGAGGGGTGCGTTTGACTCTCTTCCTGCAAGTCCCCTCAGTCGCAGCAGCAGCAGCTTTGACAGAAGCAGGTCGCCCAGTCCGTTTTTGAGGGAGAGAGGTGGGGTTGGGGAGAGGAGCGGGGTGGGGGATGCTACAGGGATTTGGGGGTGGCTGTGGCGGTGGTTTTTGTTTTTCCTGTGGCCGCTACTGTGGGTGTTTGGGTTCAGGGTTACGGATGGGCATGGGAAGAAACACCATCACCACCATCATCATCATAATCGTCAGCATCAGCAGCAGCAACATCTGGGGAACCATCACCTTAATCAACAGCAGCCGTTGGATGTAGGAGACAAGCGTCCCAGCACCATAGATCCTGGCATTCGTCGCCAGATGCCCCATCCCCCGTCCTTCTCCTCCCTCGACCCATCTGCACCACCCCAAACCGCCTCCTTTTCCCATAGTACATTCCCCCTTTCTTCTGCCCCTGCCACCACCGCTGCTGCTTCTGCTGCTGCTGCCTCCGCTGCTGCAGCAGCAGCTGCCGTGGCTGCTGCTGGGGCTGCTGCGGAATCCTCTGAAGGAGCAGCTGCAGCTGCAACAGTGGAAGCGGCACCAGCCATGTACAAAGCTAGAGAGGCTTCGGGACACGCCCGCGGCATTATCAGTGGCAGGGGAAGGGACTGGGCGGGTGAAGGCTGTGCTGCTGCTGCCTCCGCTGCTGCAACTGCTGTCGATACTGCTGCCGCTCCTGCCACTCCTCCCAGTCCTGATAACCCACCCTTCACCCCCGGGTACCCGATCTTCAGCCCTAGGTTCGGGCCGCACAGCCGCAGCAGCAGCTCCAGCAGTCTCTCGCGCCAGCTGTCGATCGCGAGCGCGGATCTGGGGAAGCGACTGGGAGACGTGTTTGAATACATGACGCACCTCAACATGAACCACCTGAATGATTTCCGCAGGTACATATGAGTGCACACCTGCGTATATATGCCCTGGATTGGACTGAAATGCTGTCAATCGCAAGTGCGGATCATGGGCGGCGACTGGTGTTTGAATACATGACGCACCTCAATCAACATAAACCACCTCAATAATTTCCGCAGGTATAGCTGGTACTGATTGCAGATGGGCATCTGTTTGACTGATGACTCACCACCGCTGCCACGTACCCTCCGTTCCGTTGTATTGCCAGTGTCTCTGTATTGTATCGTATGTGTCTCTCTGCAGGCACGGGGTGTTGGAGGATCTACAGCTCTTCTGGAAGCTCGTGATCGACGCTTCTTTGATGCCGTGCGGTCGGTCAGCACTGGTTCTAACTGCGCGCAATGTTTGATTGAAGCACTCACCACCTCCACACCCGCTTCCTTTTGCTCTCTACAGACACGGGGTGTTGGAGGATCTGCAGCTCTTCTGGGAGCTGGTCATCGAGTGCTTCTTTGATGCCGTGCGGTCGGTGATTATGAAGGCACATCTTGAATGAATGACACACCACCTCCCCACATACTTTCTGTTCCTTTTTGTCCCTGCCTGCAGGCACGGGGTTCTAGAGGACTTACAGCTCTTCTGGGAGCTGGTCATAGAGCGCTTCTTTGATGCCGTGCGGTCAGAATGTTTGGTGATTCTGTAGACACATCTTGAGTGAATGCCTCACCACCTCCACTCCTTCACATACCCACCTACCTCGACTGTCCGTGCAGGCACGGGGTGTTGGAGGATCTACAGCTCTTCTGGGAGCTCGTGATTGAACGCTTCTTTGATGCTGTGCGCTCGGTGCTGCTCTTCTGCCTCTTCCCCTGGAGGGTCCTATCCTTCCTCTTCACTCCGCTGCTGCGCCTTCTAGGGCTCCCGGTCGCCCCCTCACAGGACCTTCAGCCCTCACCTGAAGCTGCCACATCTGCTGCTGCTAGTGCTGCTGGTGCTGCTGGTGGGGGGTGGGGTGCTGCGGCGTTCAGTGCACCAGCAGCTGATGTGGTGCCGGAAAACGGGTCTGCTGCGCATCTGTCGCAGCTGCAGATGCAGCAGCAGGAGGAGCACGAGCGACAGCAGCAGCAGAACGAGCAGCAGCAGGGGCAGAGCCGGTGGCAGCAGCAGCAGCGGCTACGGCAAGCTGAATCGCTGCATGGGCCGCGGCTCATGGATGCACGGACGTGCGAAGACATTATTCGAGACGCTGGGTGAGAGTTGTGTGGTTGTGGTTGGTGCTGTAGGTGGTGGTACGACTTTTGAGAATTCTCGAAAGTCAAACCAACATGGTTGTGGTTGGTGCTGTAGGTGGTGTGGTGGTACGTTGTACGTATTTGTATTTCAGGTTGGTGACAGACGATGGGTACGTGCTCACTTCGGACCGATTCCCAAGGAAGGAGAGATGCAGATGTGCAATGCATACGTGCTCCTGCACATATTTTTCCTCGTCCCCCCCCCACCCATCCATCCCCCACCCCCCACCAGGTACCCCTACGAGGCAATCAAGGTGGTGACAGAGGACGGGTATGTGCTGACACTGGAGCGCATCCCAAGGAAGGACTCTTCACGAGTGGTGTTTCTGCAGCATGGCATTCTCGACAGCTCCATTGGGTGAGCGGGGGCGGTTTTTGAGAATTCTCAAAAACCAGCTCGTGGTGTTTCTGCAGCATGGCATTCTCGACAGCTCCATTGGGTGAGCGGGGGCGGTTTTTGAGAATTCTCAAAAACCAGCTCGTGGTGTTTCTGCAGCATGGCATTCTCGACAGCTCCATTGGGTGAGCGGGGGCGGTTTTTGAGAATTCTAAAAAACCAGCTCGTGGTGTTTCTGCAGCATGGCATTCTCGACAGCTCCATTGGGTGAGCGGGGGCGGTTTTTGAGAATTCTCAAAAACCAGCTCGTGGTGTTTCTGCAGCATGGCATTCTCGACAGCTCCATTGGGTGAGCGGGGGCGGTTTTTGAGAATTCTCAAAAACCAGCTCGTGGTGTTTCTGCAGCATGGCATTCTCGACAGCTCCATTGGGTGAGCGGGGGCGGGCCGTGGGAGCACTGAGTGATTGCGTCAAGCATGGGGTGAATTGATGTCAGGACCTCTGTTTAATGGCTCTCCAAAGTCAAAGGTCATCTGGATCGCAAAAGTCAGGACTGCTTAGTTGGCATTCGAGTTGACTTTTGAGGTGCCTCAAAAGTCGCTGAGGCCCTGATCCAGGCGACTCTCTCTCTCTCTCTCTCTCTCTCTCTCTCTCTCTCTCTCTCTCTCTCTCTCTCTCTCTCTCTCTCTCTCTCTCTCTCTCTCTCTCTCTCTCTCTCTCTCTCTCTCTCTCTCTCTCTCTCTCTCTCTCTCTCTCTCTTTGATCACTCGCATCATGACCACTTTCGAGATTTCTCGAAAGTGGTTCCAATATTAATCATACCCGATCCCCTTACTCACTCACGCAAGGGTCCACTCACGCTCTCGTGTGCCTCTTGATTCGACACGGCTCTGTGTGAATTTTGAGGCGTTTCAAGGTGAATTTTTAGTCGACTCAAAATTCACCTCGCTCTCGTGTGCCTCTTGATTTGACACGGCTCTTTGTGAATTTTGAGGCGTTTTAAAACTCGAATCTTCCCTTCTTCGTGTGCCGTGTAATCCTTCTTGCCCCTCTCGGAATCTGTTCACAGGTGGGTGTCGAATGGTGTGGTGGGGTCTCAAGCTTTTGCAGCCTACGACCAAGGTGAGAGGCGAGGCTATCTTGCTCGTGTATCTATCTTGTCTGAGATGCTAGACCTTTCAAAGGTAAGAGGCCCGTGTATCGACTCAAAAGGTGACTTTTGAGTCGACTTTTGAGTCGACTCAAAAGTCACAAGGTGAGAGGCGAGGCTATCTTGCTCGTGTATCTATCTTGTCTGAGATGCTAGACCTTTCAAAGGTAAGAGGCCCGTGTATCTCACTCTTATTTATCCTTTTCCATTCTTCTGTTTGTTTTCGTCCATTTTCTGAACCTTTTCCTCTCATCCCCTCTTTCGTGGATTCCTTGAGTCAAATGATCAAGATCTTCACTCGGTTTTCCTCATTCTATGACCCTATGACCCTGTGCTTGCACACATGTATTTCTGTGCGATGGTGACTTGACATCCCATTTTCCTGTTTCTCCCCCTACACCTTTCCCTCACCGTCCCTAGGTGACTTTTGAGTCGACTCAAAAGTCACCTCAAAAGTCACTTTTGAGTTGACTCAAAAGTCACCTCAAAAGTCACTTTTGAGTCGACTCAAAAGTCACCCCATTTTCCTGTTTCTCCCCCTACACCTTTCCCTCACCGTCCCTTCTGTTCCCTTCCATTCCTTTTCCTTTCCCTCCCTCTGCTTTACTTCTCTTCTCCTCCGCCCCCCAGGCTTCGACGTGTTTCGGGGCAACATGCGGGGCTATGTCACTAGGCACGTGTAGAGAGGGTATTTTTGAGACGTCTCAAAAATACCCCCTCTACGCGCGACGTGTTTCGGGGCAACGTGCGGGGGATATGCGGGCAACATGCGACGTGAGGCAGCACGTGGATTTCCTGATCACCGCTCTCTCTCTCTCGCTCCCTCCCTTCCCCCCACTGCCTACCCTCCCCTCTCATTCTCACACCCTTCCATCCATCCCCCAGGCTTCGACGTGTTTCTGGGCAACATGCGGGGCTATGTCACCAGGCAGCACGTGGATCTGCGCATCTCTGCCAGCAGGTGAGTGGGTGGAGTGTAGGAGATCATGAAACCACGAGCACGACCACAGGCGTGGAACGTTCAACATAACAACTGGTTGTGTTTGTCTTCCTTTGGATTAGTGTCTGTGACATCTGTATGTACTTGAGACGATTCTGATAACTCGACTTTTGACTCCGTTTCCCCCCACCAGGTACTAGCGCTACAGTGTGATGTGAACGAGCATGGCATGTCACATGTGTGAACGAGCATGGCATGTCACATGTGTGAACGAGCATGGCATGTCACATGTGTGACATCCGATCCGAGCCATGATTGACTGCATCCATCCATCCATCACAACAACACACATGCTGTCTCCCTCTCCTTAACCCTACTGCCGCTCCCCCTTCTCCTGCATTCAGGTACTGGCGCTACAGTGTGAACGAGCATGGCATGTGTGACATCCGAGCCATGATTGATTGCATCCACCACACCAAGATGCGTGACCTCGCCCCGCCTCCCCGTCCCTCTCTCGTCCCACCTCAGCAACAGCAGCAGCAGCAGCAGCAGCAGCAGCAGCAACCCGTGAACCCCCAGCAGAGTCAGGAGCACCACCAATGGCGGCAACCCAGCGCTTCAGCAGCATTAGACGCCCTGGGACTCGTGCACAGCGATTCTTCACTCCACTCTGGGCCTGCTGTACATAGTAGCGGTTTTGATACAGGGGGGGGAGGAGGGGCTGATACGATGTATCGGGACAAGCCACAAACGGGTACAGGTGGTTCTGGGTGGACACCTGGCAGCCAGACGATGCAGGATGGCGTGATGACGTGGCAGCCAGGCTGGCACGAGGTGCGGCCCGCTCCTGTTTCGCTGATAGATGCTCTGAGGGAGAGGCGAGAGGAGGAGAGGAGGGAGGGGGAGAGGAGGCAGGAAGAGAGGAGAGGGGAAGAAGTGAGGAGGATGGGGGATGGAGGGCGATCAGAGACCACAGGTGATGCTACAGCAGCAGCAGAAACAGCAGGAGCATCAGGAACAGCAGCAACTACAGCAGAGGCTTCAGATCAGAAGCAGCAGGGGCAGCAGCAGCAGCAGGGGCAGCAGCAGCAGCAGCAGGGGCAGCAGCAGCAGCAGCAGGGGCAGCAGCAGCAGCAGGGGCAGCAGCAGCAGCAGCAGGGGGTGCCGTGGAGTGAGGAGCAGCCGTACCACCTGCAGGCAGTGGCGCACAGCCTGGGAGGGGCGGCCATGATGATCTACCTCGTCACCCAGTTGATTAGGAGACAACCCCACCGCCTCTCCCGCCTCATCCTCCTCTCTCCGGCTGGTGAGTCCCTCTCGCTGGTGGGTCCCTCTCGCAGGTGGGTCCCTCACGCTGGTGGGTCCCTCTCGCTGGTGAGTCCCTCACGCTGGTGGGTCCCTCATGCTGGTGAGTCCCCCACGCAGCATAGGGGCAAGCAGCCATACCATGTGGCGCACAGCCTGGGAGGGGCGGCCATGATGATCTACCTCGTCACCCAGCGCCGGTTTCCAACCACCAAAACGACGAGGTCACCTGCTGGTGGGTCCCCTCTAGGGTCCACTGCTGATTGGCTAGTTCATCCAGACCCCATGCTTTTGCTTTCCTGAGTTATACTTTTGGGAATTCTCAAAAGTGAACTCGACATTGCTGGTGAGTCCCCTCTAAGATCCACTGCTGATTGAGTAAAAAATTCCAGACCCATGCTTTTGCTTTCCACCCTTTTCGTCTCACCCCTCTTCGTCTCACCCCCTTCCCCCCTCTCGTCCAACCCCCCTTCCCTCGCTCCCTCGCGCCCTTCTCTCCCATTCCCCCCCTCCCTCAACCCACCCCCCCCCGGCCCCCCTCACAGGATACCACGAGAAGACCCCGCTCCTATTCGACGTGATGCTGTTCCTCATGCCATCAGCGACTCGTGGCTCTCCCAGTCAGTTCCAGCCATCTACATCCCCACGCAGGGCCTGCGCCTGCTCTTCAACGTCCGCTTCCCCATCCTCCTCCTCGCACCCACCCTGAGTCCGCCCCGCCACTTCTTCCCGTGCGTACTGCCTCTTTATCTCACCCTGTCCCTCCTGTTCTCCCCTTCTCTCCCTCCCTCCTCCCCACAGGCTACCACAAGAAGACCCCGCTCCTATTCGACGTGATGCTGTTCCTCATGCCATACATCGACTCGTGGCTCTCCCAGTCAGTTCCGGCCGTCTACATCCCCACGCAGGGCCTGCGTCTGCTCTTCAACAAGCTCGCTCAGGACTTTCAGAACCTCCCTGCATTGCGCTGCCTGGTGCAGGTGTGTGTATGTGTGCGCATGGGTACATTTATGTGTGTGCCTGTGTATGTGTGTGCCTGTGTATGTGTGTGCCTGTGTATGTGTGTGCCTGTGTATGTGTGTGCCTGTGTATGTGTGTGCCTGTGTATGTGTGTGCCTGTGTATGTGTGTGCCTGTGTATGTGTGTGCCTGTGTATGTGTGTGCCTGTGTATGTGTGTGCCTGTGTATGTGTGTGCCTGTGTATGTGTGTGCCTGTGTATGTGTGTGCCTGTGTATGTGTGTGCCGGCCATCCACATCCCCACGCAGGGCCTGCGCCTGCTCCTCAACAAGCTAGCCCAGGACTTCCAAAACCTTCCGGCGTTGAGGCGCCTGGTGCAGGTCTTTCTGGTGCAGGTCTTTCTGGTGCAGGTCTTTCTGGTGCAGGTGCGGGGTATCTCCCACCCAGGGCCTGCGTCTTATCTTCAACACACTCGCGCAGGACTTTCAGAACCTCCCGGCCTTGAGGTGTCTGGTGCAGGCCGTGTGCGCGTGCTATGCATACATGCTATGCATACATGCTATGCATACATGCTATGCATACATGCTATGCATACACACGTTGGTACATAAATAAATGTGTGCATGCTGACTCATTGTTCGAAGGGCTGCAGTGGTTGAATGGACGCTTAAGCAAAGGAACAACAGTGAAAAATTCAAGTGAAAAAAACGCAGATCTGAAAAACCCTTGGCTTCCGAAAAGCCTAAAACAATGAGTCAGGCTGGTGCAGGCCGTGTGCGCGTGCTATGCAGACACACGTTGGTACATAAATGTGTGCATGCATGTATATAGATGTGTGCATGCATGTATATAGATGTGTGCATGCATGTATATAGATGTGTGCATGCATGTATATAGATGTGTGCATGCATGTATATAGATGTGTGCATGCATGTATATAGATGTGTGCATGCATGTATATAGATGTGTGCATGCATGTATATAGAGGTGCCGAACACCCACCCAATCATCTACAAAGCACGAAACGCGCCAGTCACCCTTCTCTCCCCTCTCCACTCTCCACTCTCTTCTCTCCTCTTTCCTCTACGTATTCCCTCTCCCCTACCAAACATGCAGGTGCTCATATCTAACATCATTGTGGGGGGAGATTCGTCCGACTGGGTGGGAGCCCTGCGCCAGTCGCACTACAACATGTACAACATGCCTGGCATCGCATACAACGTCATGAAGCATCATCTGGCGCTCTCTCTCTCTGCTCTCCCCTCTCCCCCACCAAACGTGCAGGTTCTAATCTCAAATATTCTAGTGGGAGGGGATTCATCCGACTGGGTGGGAGCGTTACGTCAGCCGCACTACAACATGTACAACATGCCTGGCATCGCCTACAACGTCATGAAGCACTTAGCTCTCACCAAGCGAGAGCGCCGATTCATCATGTTCGACTACGGCTCCCCCGCAGCTAACCTCGCAGTGTACGGTTCTCCCGAACCAGTGGACATTGGAGCGTTTTACCGTCTTATTGATATCCCGATAGATGTTGTCGCCGGGCGGCGCGACCGTCTTATTCCCCGGGAGATGGTCCACTGGCACTACAAGACGCTGATAGCCGCTGGGCGGCAGGCGTCTTACCGGGAGTTTGAGTACGCGCATTTGGATTTCACGCTTGCACATAAAGAAGAGCTACTAGCATATGTGATGCGGAGGTTGAGGGTTGATTTGCCGAAGCTGCACCTCATGCCGAACCTGTCGCCGAACCGGTCGCCGAACCTGCGGCCCCGCGTGGCGGAGTTTGACAGGTCGAGGAGTTCGCCTGCTATGGCTGGGATGGCAGGGTTGGCGGTGGGGGAAGTGAATGCGAGGGAGGAGAGTAGGAGGGAGAGGGAGGAGAGGAGGAGGACAGGAGGGGCAGCAGGAGGTGGAAAGGGAAGGGGTGGGGGAAGGGGAGGGGGTAGGACAGGGAGGATCAGAGGGCGAGGGGGTAGGGAAGGGAGGGCAGAGAGAGGAGTAGCTACAGCTGATGGCAATATCGCAGCTGATGGATCTGCTAGTGCTGCTGCAACAGCGGCTTTGGCTGCTGCTGCTGCTGCTGCTGCCACTGCTGCTGGTGCTGCTGGAGGCAGCAGTGCTGCTGCTAGTTCTATGTGCAGGCCGGAAGTGCGTGCACCTGATGCGCTGGTTCGGCGGTGCGAGTCGGCAATATTCTCTCCGCTCGTAGTGTCTGTGGATGACTCTCCCACGCTCGAAGGACAGCTGTCATTTGCCGGGTGGCGGAGTGGGGCCCCTGCTGGGGAATGATGTTGGCTCTGGCGCTGGCACTGAACTGATGTGAGTTGAGTTTCGCCGAGGAAAATAAAACGTTTATTCAGTACGAATTAGGCTGGATGAAATGGTTTAGCTGATAAAGCTACCGTTGAGAATGTGAGAATGTGTCCAATCAGTCTTTTGTATATCAATCGTATCGGTCAATTTCATGTTTACTTGAGTGTGTTTTTTACTGGTCCTTCTCAATAGTGAAACCATGAGTGTAGCTGGGGTACTGGTCTCCACTCTGGTTCTGGTCTTTCTGCACTCAGGGTGTATTTCCGATAAAATGGCGGAGTCTGTGGCTGAGGCGCAGACGAGCAAAGAGCCTTCTCTGACACCAAGAGTTATCAAAACTGACAGAAATTTCTCCAGTTCCAAACGGGTTTATGTGACACGCGATTCCCACGTTCCTGTCACACCAAACGCGGTCTACACTAACCTAAACCTTCCCCGTCTAATCACCACCTAGGCAGCTATTACTACTCGCTACTTTTCTCAAATCAATACCTCAGTTACCTCCCTTCCGCCCGTCTCGCATCCGCTTCAACTTAATAGCTCTCCCACCCGGTTATCCGTTTAAATCAGAGATGCCGCGTCGTTGCGACACGTCATCAGGCGGATCCTCGGCCGTTGTTTCTAGCTGTTTACCCCACGATCTGCCGACGTCACCTGACGAGGCGTCTCCGTCGATCGACCGTTTATCAGACGACCTCCTGTGCTCCGTCCTCCGTCTAGCTTCCGTCGACGGCTCTCCCCCGTTACGTCTCTCGCTTGTCTGCAAGCGATGGCTTCGCCTGGCTTGTCTCATTCAGACCTCCATTCCTTCCGCGTTCTTCGCCTCTCTCGGCGCTCAGAAGCCGACTCCTCCGCTCAGTAGCAGCGTCAGCCGCAATGTCAGTGGAAGCAGAAGCAGCAGCAGCAGCAGCAGCGGCACCATAAGCGGCACCAGAGGCAGCAGCAGCACGGGTACCGTTCACGACAATTTCAAAGGCGTCGACAGTTCCAGACTCAACTACAGCAACCTAGAACGTCCCAATAGAGTCGCTTACCTCCTTAAATCCCTCTCCAGATTCCCTTGTCTCACTCGCCTTGCCACGTCACCCCACTGCTTAGAAGCCTACCAAGGAAACTTCCTCAGCAACCTCCCTCTCTCCTGCCCAGCTCTAACCTCCATTTCATTTTCCCCGCTGACATCTCCACATTTATCCATTAGCGAATTAGATCTTAACGGTTTTTTCCAGGCGTTTAGGTCGCAACTGAGGGAGGTGTATTTGGACGGATGCATCAATAAAATCACAGTGATGCCAGCTTCCCTTACAGTCCTCTCTTCCCTTCGTTTACTGCACATTCAGTCCAGCTGTCTGCTCGAATTTCCTGAGAATTTAAGCTCCCTATCCTGCTTGCAAGAGCTCTCCCTTTGGTGCTGGAAGCTTTCCTTTCTGCCCGAATCCATCGGGCAGCTATCTTCCTTGACAAAGTTGGAGCTGGTTTATTGCTCCAGTCTTCCGCAACTGCCCGAATCACTCACCCAATTGCCCGCCCTCACTACCCTCAACGTTTCCCACTGCTCCAATCTGTTCGACCTGCCCCAGAATTTTGGGCAGTTGAAGGCTCTGCAAACGTTTACATTAGCTGGGGGATCTTTTTCGACGGACTTACCGGACTCTTTTTGTAGGCTGCCCGGTCTTAGCAAGCTTGAATTGAGGCATGCCTATTGGCTCGACACCTTCCCATCGTCCATCTCCTCCCTCCAAAACCTTCATTCCCTTGACCTGAGCATCTGCAATTGGCTCAAGAATCTGCCCGAAGAAATCGGGCAGCTGCAGAAACTAGAGGAGCTGAGACTGACCGACTGTCTGAAAATCAACCGCCTTCCAGACTCCATCTGCTCTCTTCCCAACCTGAAACTCATCTCTCTCCAAAAATGTTTCAGTATAGAGTGCCTCCCTACCGCGTTAGGAAATCTGTCCTCCTTGACCCATCTCGAGCTTTTGAAACTTGCCAAGCTGACCGCCTTACCCACCTCTTCACAAGATCTGCGGAACCTAGAAGTTCTTATATTGAAGGGGTGCAAATCGCTTGCGAGTGTGCCAAGGCTGCTGTTGCAGCAGCAGCCTCGCTTGAAGCACCTCATGTTGGATCACTTTCCGTGCTTAGACCAACTGCTGCTGGATATGGGCGCTACAGCTGCCACAGTCACTGCAACCGCTACAGCCGCGGCAGCCCCTACAGCCGCTACAGCCGCCGCAACAGCTGCTTCTGCTGTTCCGGATTTCCCTCCTGCTGCTGCCTCAGACCCCCCTTTGTCTGCCACTCCCCAGCTCCTTCCTGCTGATCCAAATTCAAGCCATCTGACGGTAGAAGCCCCACCTCTCCTCCTGCCTCCGTCCCTCACTCACATAGAGCTCGCTCGCAGCAGCACCATCTCAGCCCTCCCCTACTCACTCTCCTGCCTCACCAGCCTCCAAACCCTGTCCGTTCGCCGCTTCTGCTCCCTCCGCTCCCTCCCCTTCGTGAGCTGTCCATCGCTCACTCTTCCTTCCAGCTGTCCCTTGCGCCAGCTGGCGCCTTGCCAGGTGTCGGACCAAGTGGCAGCGTGCCAGCTGGCTAAGCTGCAGGAATTGAGGATTGCGTTCTGCAAGAAGTTGACGCGCCTTCCTGATTCGCTGCACCTCCTCCTCCCCATGCTCTCTCGCCTTGTCCTGTTCAGCTGCACTGCCCTTTCTACGCTGCCCGAAGATCTGGGTCAACTTAAGAAACTTTCTTACCTGGAGCTGTCCCGCTGCACAGCTCTGAAAGAGCTTCCAGACTCTCTTTGTGTGTCAACATCATTGGAACAACTCATAATCTCCTCCTGCCCATCAATATCTTTTCTGCCTGCAAATATTGGGCAGCTGCCATCTCTCAAAAGGCTCTCCTTGGAAAACTGCAAGGGTTTGACATCGCTGCCCGGATCTCTGGTCCAAGCGCCAACTCTTTCCTACCTGCTGGTTTCGGGGTGTGCGGAATTGGTAGGATTGCCCGAAGATTTGGGTATGCTCAAGTCGTTAGAAGTTCTCATTGTGCGATCGTGCGACAAGATTCTTGAGCCACCTGCCTCGTTGGCGTATGCAACGAGACTGAGGAAGGTTGAGTTCAGAGACTAGGTAGGTACTTGTGCGCTTCTTCTGCCCTTATTGGTTTTTTTTTCTCTTGTAACTATTACTTCTTTTTAGTTTGATAAAGATTATGATACTGTTATGCTTATTGGTATACTCAAAATAGAGCTCCTCATTTAAAACCGAAACTGTAGAACTTCCAAGGAATTATGTTTCGACCAAAATATCCATCCACTTCCCCTAAACCGCTGTAGATGCGCTTTTGAACGTTCTAGACCGCGACGAAACGAATGTCAGGTGTTTTCACAACAAACACAAAGAGAAGTGCTTCAGTAGCGTCAGGCTGACGAGGATTTGACAGGACGGATTTAGGTCAAAGCACCACCGCAATGAACGGACGGTCGAGTTCATTTTAACTTTCCGTAATGGCGTCAATTTCTTTCGAGCGGCAGCCTCCCGCAGTTGCTTTGACGGAAATGCCAGTGCCGCCCCTGGCAGCGCTCACAGAAGCCCTGTTTGATGACCTCGTGAAGCAATTTGCTGCTAATAGAATAGCCTCTAACGAACCCAGTGAAAGATGTACTGAACCAGACATAGCCACGACAGACGTGGCGACGGAAGCTAGACGCGCGTTCACGGAAGCAAGGGACAGAAGCATTGACGGAGGAGATGTGGATGCAATGACAGCGAAGGAAGGGAGAGACGGGTCGCGTGACGGAGACGATCCCGAGGTCACCATCAGTGCAGCGACGGCCGCTAAGCTTGGTATGATGGCCTGTTTTGAGACGTCTCAAAGCGTGACAGCGACGGAATTGAGATCACTATTAGTGCAGAGGCGGTGGTCAAGCTTGGTTAAAGTGTGCTTTCGTAAAAATAAATCAGAATATCTAGTCTAGTGTACCTTTGCCTGGCACCTTTCGCACCATAGTATGTGCGTTTCTGTTTTCATTGTTTCCTTGGGTCCATTTTGATTCAATTTGGATTCCGTCAAACCCTTGTTGTCCTTGTTTTTCCCCTTCCTCTCTCCCATCTTACTTCCATTGGCTTCGTATGTGCAGTTTCCGACAGCAGCCTAGGATCGTGAGTCTTAAACTCTTTCTTGAAACACACACACACACACACACACACACACACACACACACACACACGCACGCACGCACACACACACACACACACGCGCGCGCGCGCACTACACACCACACACGCAGCAACACGGGACACATGGCAGAAGGCACACGTGACCTCACAATCCCTTCTCCACTCCTTTCTGCAAACCCTTTTCTTCTCATTAATCAATTCCAACGCCCTTTCAGTCTATCATCTCGACAAGCTCCTAGTGTCTATCTGAATCTTCTGTAATCAGCTCACACTAATCATTCAGTAAGTGGGACGACGACCAATCCTGTCCTGGTGTCTTCCGCTCCAGCTTGAGGGTTCTGTTTCAGTCTCAGCTGGACCGAGCCGTGGCCATTTTGGACCATGGCGGGGTGACAAAGCTGATAGCCCATCCCAGCGGCAGAAGCGCATTTCAGGTGAGAAGATACTATTCAATGGATGGCTTTTGAGGCGCCTCAAAGGTTTCAGTCTCAGCTGGACCGAGCCATGGCCATTTTGGACCATGGTGGGGTGACTAGGCTCGTAGCCCATCCCAGCGGCAGAAGCGCATTTTAGGTGCGAAAAAATAATGAAGGAATGGTTTCAGCCCGCTCGTGTGGTACTTGAAATAAGAAGTGGTTTTGACTCTCTTCAAACGAATTTCTGTGTGAATGATTGTATGCTGCTGCATTCGTACTTTTGACACGGACCGGCCTGCGTTTGAGTTTTTGACATCCCTGCAGGTTCGTGGCAACCCCAGGAGCTCTGCCTTTCACATCTGCCTGCCCCACCACTACTGCCCGTGCCAATCATTTTTCTATGACGCAGTGTCTCGTGGCGAGCAGCTCATGGTGAGTGCTGCAGCGCAGAAGCCTATAAGGAGGCACTTAAAACCTGTGTGCTCTTGTACATCTGTCTGTCACGCACCACTACTGCCCCTGCCAGTCATTCTTCTATGACGCGGTCTCCCGTGGCGAACAACTCATGGTGAGTGTGACACTGCAATTTTGTGACATTCCGCATCTGACTCTCACACCATTGCACACCATTTTGCAAGTAAAGGAAAGTGATAGTCAGAACATTTGAGCTGTGTGCAGCAGCACATATGATGTGACAAATTAGAGCCACGTTCCCTTTATCAACCATTTTCTTGCCATTTTCCATTGCCATTTTTCATTGCCTCATCTGAGGTGCATTCCCTTATCCCTCCTCTCTTCCCCCTTATCCCTCCTCTTTCCCCTTATTCCCCCTCTTTTCCCCCTTATTCCCACTCTTTTTCCCCGTATTTCCCTCTCCCCCCTCCTTATCCCCCCTCACTTCCCCTGCGGGATTCCCAGTGCAAGCATTTACTCGCCACTCGGCTAGCTGAGTCACTGAAGTGTTACAACGTGGCACATGTCAGCGATGGTGCTCTGTGCTTGGCCCTGTCACAGATGTAGCAACCCTGCAGTGTGCACTGTGCGGTAGCACGCTGCGATGGCTAAATTTGAGAAGAATGCCGTCAAAGTGTCACAACATTTCACATGTCAGAGATGGTGCTGTGTGCTTCGCCCTATCTCCAGATGTAGTGATTGTGCTACGTAAGTACAATGCATTCATGCATAGCGTAGTGCATTTGTTACAAGAGGTTGGCTTGTGCGTGACCTTCTCTCGGGTGTAGCAATGCCACAAGTAGCGGTGGGTATTGTTGGGCTGAGATAGCCCTTAGGATCTTTGCAGGGGTAAATTCGGGGTAGGACAATTGTAATAGCGGAAGCGTTTAATGAAGAACTTGTGAACCACCTTGCGCTGGTATGTGAGGGCAAAGTAAGTTGATTAAAGCAAAGAGATACAAGCATTTATATATGAGTACAAGGAATATGAAAGGATACGGTTATAACTACTTTACTGTTGCTGTTGCGGTTCGATACAGTGACGACTCGGGCAACTGCTCTGTAGCGAGTCAGTTGTGTGTCCTTGCTGTCGCGCTGTACTTGTCAGGTCAAAGGTCGCTGACCTTTGACTTTCGCGTAACCTCCGGCAACCTCTTTCAACCTCCGAGGGTTGACTCGCTCGTGCCTCGATATGGTTCGCTTCGCTTCTGGTGTGATGTTTCGACACGACAGAGGCGCTTTAGGATTTACTTGTTTCCAACACTCCCCTTCGCTTCTGGAGTGTCGCTGCTGATGACGTGGCCTTGTCCAGTCAGCAGCATGCAGTACTCGAACTTCTGCTTTCCGAGCTTCTTGGTCAAATAGTCGGCTGCCATCTCGGACGTGGGACAGTAGGATAGTTCAAGTCTCCCCTTCTCGATCTCGTCTTTCACGAAGAAATATCGCAGGGCGATATGTTTCGTTCTGTTCGCGAAGCCACTTTTGTTGGCGATGCGAATTGCAGATTGGTTGTCGCAGAACAGAGTGAAATTAGGTAACTCGGCTAACTTCGCTTCTTCCAGCAGCTCGCGAAGGTAAAGTCCTTCCTTGGTGGCTGAGCAGAGTGCGATATATTCTGCTTCAGCTGATGAGAGGGCGATTAGTTCTTGCTTACTCGACTGCCAGGAGATAGGACCGATAGGCTCGAGGCGATAGATATAGCCGGTGCGGGAGCGCCTATTGTCGGAATCGCCGGCGTGGTCGGCATCGACATAGCCGATTAGCTTAGTCGGTGTAGTTGCGTTCTTGTGGTACGTTAGGCCGATCGTTGAGGTGCTGACGAAGTAGTGAAGAGCGCGGTCGAGCTCTGCTAGGTGCTCTGCTTCGGGTCTTTTGAGGTAGGTGGCGAGTTGGCTTGCGGAGTAGGATAGGTCTGGGCGACAGGTGACGGCTGCGAAGAGAAGGCACCCCAGCTTTCTCTGGTAGCTTTCTCCACCCCAGCTTGAGTGGAGCGGATTCACCCTTGTTGTTCCCTGTCGTGTAGCGATATGGTGTGGAGATGGCGGTTGGTGTAAGAGCGAAACGCTTGGCGATGGTGTCGGCGTATTTTGCGGCGCTGAGGTAGATCGCGTCGTTCTCTTCTCGGATGTTGAGCCCAAGATATTGTGTGACGGTAGATGAAACCGTGAGCGTGAGATCTTGCTGCAGCTCCCCTTCGAACCAGGTGGTGATGCCGTCGGACGAGCCGATGTAGAGGAGGTCGTCTACATAGACGATTAGCAGGACGTAGTCGTCGTTCTTCGTGAGCCGGTACATCCCCTGATCGTGGGGTAGTTGTTTGAAACCGAGCAATGCGGATGAGACGGGCGTGTAGGTACTGCTGCCATAGCCGCGGGGCTTGCTTAATCCCGTAGAGCGATTTCAGTAGTTGACAGACTTTGTTCGGCTCTCCGTTAGTGCCATGTGGGAGTTCGACGAAGATCTCCGCGTCGACAGGTGCGTAGAGAAACGCGTTGGCGACATCGATCTGTCGTAGCTTCTTCTTCTTCATGGCGGCGATCGCGAGAAGAATTCGGAGTGAGGTGTGTCGGCTAACCGGGGCGAATGTCTCGGTGAAGTCCCGTCCGTGCTCCTGATCGAATCCACGTACCACCCAGCGTGCTTTGAATTTCTCGATTGTGCCGTCTGCTTTCGTTTTCACGCGGAAGACCCATTTTCCGGTGAGAATGGTCTTGTTTCTTGCCACGCTGATGGGAACGACTTTCCAGGTGTTCCGTTCCTCCAGCGCTTTTAATTCTCTGTCCATGGCTTCACGCCATTTTTCCCTATGTTCCCCCCCCAGAGCCTGCTGAACCGTGGCAGGCTCCTTAGGAATGGCTGAGCCGTGGACTGCGGTGACGAGGCCGAGAATTTGCAGTCCACTCTGTGAGTAGCGGGGGAGTGTGGTGTCCTCGGGATAAACAGCTTCGTCTCCTGTTTCAGGTGTTGGATTGAAATTCGGTCCTACTCGTTCTGCTTCGTTGGTGTTGACCCGTGCAGGTGTAACGTAACCATTGTCGGCGAATTCGTAGAAGACTTCGGCGTTGACGCTTTCGCGAGGATTGTCTCTATCCATTGGGATGTCCACGGAGCAGTAAGGGAGAGGTCCGGCTGCTTCCGAGGCTCCCTCCACGTTCTGCTCGTCCCAGTCAGCTTCGTCTTCTGCCGAGGCGAAGGCTCGGTGCCCATGAAATCCGCCCGAGAGGTCAGGTCTGTTTTCTTCGATGTACATGAGGTGAGTTCCGAGGGTGAGGTTTTCGTAGAAAACGACATCACGTGCTGCTACTGTTTCCTTGCTGTTGATGTCGAAGATTTTCCACGCGTTGTAATGTTTTGCGATGCCCAGGTGTAGTCCCCACTGTGCGCGTTGAGAGAATCGCCCAGCTCGTGCAGATGGAGGTCGGTACTGTACCATGCAGCCGAAGACTCTCAACATTTTTGTGCTGCCCAATTTCCCTGTCCACAGCAGATGCGGTGATGCGTTGTTCGGGAGCGATGATGACGAAAGCAAGTTGTGCAGCATGACGGCGTGGTCCATCGCTTCGGGCCACTGGTGGTTGGGCAGGTGCATGCCACGTAGCAGCTTGCGCATGGTGGCTTGCAGCGTCCTGTTCATCCTTTCTGCTACGCCTTGCTGTTGGTGAGCGTAGGGAAGGGAGATGAGCCTCTTGATTCCTCTTTCTGCCAAGTACTGCTTGAACCTCTGTGAGGTGTATTCTCCTCCCCCGTCTGACTGAAAGCTTTTTAGCTTAGCTCCCGATTCTCGTTCTGCGACTGGAAGCCAGGCGACGAAAGCTTCGAAAGCCATGTCGCGACTTGGAAGGTTTAGGTGCCAGACATATCGAGTTGCGGCGTCGATGAAGGTGATGGTGTAGCTGTAGGCGTTTTGTCCGGGTTCACGGTTGTATAAGATGTCGCTGTACACCTTTTCGAGAGGTGTGTACGCAGGTGCGCTTGGATTGTGATGTGAGACGAACGGCTGATGCGGTAAGTCGGCTTCAGGGCAAGTGAAGCACGTTCCACGGGCTCGTTGAAGTTCTCTGCCGTCGGTCAGTAGAAGTGAATCTTTGTCGAGCACTCCTGCTCTTATCGTGTTGTTTAACACTGTGTTGCTTGGATGTCCCATTCTTGCGTGCCAGGTACCTTCAGTGGCGCGATGTCCGGGTGACCGTCGATACAGATCCGAGTTGGAGTAGAAGCCGGCAGTGACGTTGGTGCTTCGGTGGACTTCTCGTGGTGCCGGTTTTAACTGTTGTACAGGTGTCGGTGGCGAATCGTCGATGGAGATTGGTGCCGTTGAAGGACCGGCGATTGGTGTCGATGTTGTCGCTGCTGCTGCTGCTGCTGCTGCTGATGTTGTCTCTGCTGCTGCCGATGTTGTCTCTGCTGCTGCCGATGTTGTCTCTGCTGCTGCTGATGTTGTCTCTGCTGCTGCCGATGTTTGTTGAATTGTTGCTAACGCCCTTGTTCTCTCTGTTTCAGGAATGGTGTGTGAGTGCCAGAAGCCGTCAGGGCTGAAGTCTGGGTCAAGATCTGGAGGATGTGTCCAAGGAGCAAAGCTGACGATGCCGTCGCTGTCAGCGGTGCCAAGGTCTGGTACGAAGTCAAGAACGAAGACGTTGTTCTTGAGGATTGCCTTTCCGATGTAGAGGCCGCCTTTTCCGTGGTACAGCTTGAACTCCTGGGTGGTGCTGTCTGCTTCGAGGTGAATGCCTTTCGCCATCAACTGACTGACGCTCAGTAAGTTGTAACCGAGACCTTCTGCGATTAAGACCTTGGTCATTTGTAGAATCACACTTGTTTCTCGTGACTGAAGTTGTACCACTCCTTGTCGTCGTGTGCGCAGGTTCTGGTTGTTGGCGACGGTGATGACTACTTCTCGTTGAAGTTGATACTCTCGTTGTACGAAGCGTCCTGAAGAGCACATATGCTGTCCGCAGCAACTGTCCAAGAACCATGTGTCCTTCCCGGATGGTTCACTCTGGGCGATGGCGGCGTATGTCGGGTTTGGCTGCAGTGACTCGCGGCGGGGTGTGCTGTTGTCGAGCTGTTCTTCCGGTGAGTAGTGTGGTGGTGATTCAGTGACGCAGGAGTCGGTCAGTTTTGCCATACAACTGACGATGTTCCTTGTTCCTTGCGCAGGTTGTCCCGCAGGTGGTGTTGAGGCTTGAATCTGGATCGTGGGGTTCGTTTGTGTTGAGGCAACTTGGCTGCTTGAGGGTCGAAGCTGTCGCTGTTGTGGCGTTGGCTGTTGTCGATTTGGGCAGTGCGTGCGTGGGTGCCCAGACGTCTTGCAGATGTGGCAGAACGGAGGTACGGGTTTTGGTTGTTGTCGGTTGCTGTTGTTGTTGTATCGTCGCTGAGTGTGAAACGCGAATTCCGGTACTGATGTCTTTCTCTTGTGTCGTTCTTCTTGCAGGTCCATGTCTTGCTGCTCAGCATGTATTTCGGCGCAGAGCGCTGCTTCGGAGATTCTTCCGTGGGCTCGGAGAATGGCTTTTGTTGCGCGCCATTGAGGACCGAGGCCGCCGATGATGACTGTCACGAAGGCGTCTTCAGAGATTGACCCTCCGCATCGAAGAAGCTTGTCGCGCAGTTCGCGACATCGGCTGACATATGCCATCCCTTTTTCGCCTGGTTTCATTTCAACCGTTGTCAGTTGCGCCATTAGCCGACTTTGACTGACGCTGTCTGTTGCTTGATACAGGTCCTTGAGGTGCTTGTACGCGAGTTCCGCGGAGTTGCCGAATCCCCGGTAAGACCGTATGTTCTGCTGCTGAGTTGGGGTGATATTTCTCAGTAGGATCGTATACGCCATCATCGACTGATATGTATACTGCTGCTTCTCATACTGTGTGCCGTTTGTTGGGTATGGTACAGACCCGTCGAAGAAGCCAAGTATCTGCGCGCCTTCCATCATCAGCTCGAATTCGAACGACCAGGTAAAGAAGTCCTTTCCGTCGAAGGGCCTTGACGTCTGCAGCTTTAAGACGTGCGCGAATTGCGACTGTACTTGTAGTGCATCCAGTTGTCTTTCTTGTCCAGATGGAGCTTGCGGCATGAAGCTGATGGACCCGCGTTCATACGGAGCAAAGGTAGGTTGTTGCTGATTTCCGCGCGCATATGATGAGCCATCAAGACTCATTGGAGTCACGTTGTTGTTGTTGCTGTTGTTTGACTGCGCAGGTGCCGACTGCTGGTGTTGCTCGTAAAACGACATGAAGGAGAAGAACTTCTCCATCATACTCTGGTCGAAGTTGGCAGGCTGGCTGGCCGAAGGCGCTGCTGGTCCCGTTGTGGTTCCTTCCTCTGTCTGCAGGCCAGAGGCAGGAGGTGGGGTAGGAGTAGTCCCGGGAGAACCATTAGAGGAACTCCTCTCCTTGTATGTTGCCATGTCGTCTGTTGATGATTTGACAGTAGTTGAATTTCCCCTGATAGCTCTCATACCATGTTGGGCTGAGATAGCCCTTAGGATCTTTGCAGGGGTAAACTCGGGGCAGGATAATTGTAATAGCGGAAGCGTTTAATGAAGAACTTGTGAACCACCTTGCGCTGGTATGTGAGGGCAAAGTAAGTTGATTAAAGCAAAGAGATACAAGCATTTATATATGAGTACAAGGAATATGAAAGGATACGGTTATAACTACTTTACTGTTGCTGTTGCGGTTCGATACAGTGACGACTCGGGCAACTGCTCTGTAGCGAGTCAGTTGTGTGTCCTTGCTGTCGCGCTGTACTTGTCAGGTCAAAGGTCGCTGACCTTTGACTTTCGCGTAACCTCCGGCAACCTCTTTCAACCTCCGAGGGTTGACTCGCTCGTGCCTCGATATGGTTCGCTTCGCTTCTGGTGTGATGTTTCGACACGACAGAGGCGCTTTAGGATTTACTTGTTTCCAACAGGTATTGTACCAAGTGCACATAATACTTCGCAGTGCTGTGACCTTTCCATGCCTACACTTGCAGGAATCTAGTCTGATCCACATATTGTTCCTGCTGAGAACATGGTAGCTTGAGCATGGCATGAGCTTCTAGTAGTCCACCATTTTTATAACCAGCCCGAGCAGAATTTTCTACTGGATTGGCACAGAACCGGCTCCTGGGGTGTTCCAAAATCCTAAAAACCTAGCAGTTATAGCGGATCACGTTAGCTGGAACAACTTACAGCCTAGTAGCACAAGGCCGTACAATACAATCTGCCTTCGCGTCGCATTCTCTTCTCCTCCACTTAAACCCCCTCGTTCGCTCCCCCTGTTCTTCTCAAACTCCTCCAGCACCCGCCTCTGCTCCTTGGCCTCGCCCTCCATATAATCCATCGTGCGGGCTGGTCGGCCGAGTGACCTTCTACTCCCCCTCCTCTCCTCCCTTCCTCGTCATTTCTCTCCCGTCTCTCCCCCCTCCACTTTCTTCTCAAACTCCTTCAGCACGCGTCACGGCTGCTTGGCCTCTGCTTCCATATAACCATCGTGCGCGCTGGCTTCTTACAGTGCCAATCACTCTGCTTTCTCCTCAGTTTTCTTCTCCTTTCCCTCCGCTTCCTTCTTCTCAAACTCCTCCAGTACCCGTCTCAGCTCCTTCGCTTCAGCTTCCATGTCATCCATCGTAAGAGCTGGCCCACTGCAGTGCCTTACAAATACAGGCCTTTCACTCTGCCTTCTCCCCTCCTTTCTTCTCAAACTCCTCCAGCACCCGTCTCAGCTCCTTGGCCTCAGCTTCCATGTCATCCATCGTACGGGCTGGCCGGTTCTCCTCCACGTCCATCCTCAGCTTCTTCGCCTCCTTCTCATTCTCCTCAATCTGATCGTGTTGTGGATGGGAATAAATACAGGGACAGGGACAGTCAGACACAACCAAAGAAATGGACAAAGTTCCCTTCTCTTGTCCTCAACATCCATCCCCAGCTTCTTCTCCTCCTTCCGGTTCTCTTCATTCTACCAAATTTGACAGTCAAATACAAACAGGAAAAAGAACAGGGGCTCTCCTTTTATCCCCCTCCTCTACACCCATCTGCAGCTTCTTTGCCTCCTTTGAGAACTCTTGATATGTAACCGTGTTGTGGATGGAAAGCGGAACAAGACTTTTGAGACGTCTCAAAAGTCAGCTTCATTGCCTCCTTTGAACACTCTTGAAATGCGACCGTGTTGTGGATGGAAAGCGGAACAGGAACAGTTAAGGACAAAGAGAAAACGAACAGAATCCTCATCGCCTCCCTTCCACCTTCGCCTCGTTGTTATTTACAAACTAACGGAGCGGCGAGCATGGAGTAGCGACAGTATTCGACCCAACACTGGGATGTGAACCTACATAGTCTCTCAGTGTATCTCATGAACCACTGCTGGCTTGGGGTAGCATCTACATACTACAACGTAAAAGAAAGAAAGAAAGAAAGAAAAAGATTCTTTCAAATTCACTACTAGCAACAGCATTCAGCCTGTGCCTAGCTTCGTCTCAGCAATAGCATTCAGCCAAGCATATCCGCACTAGCGCATGAGCGCACACCTCACTGTAGATTGACATGCGCGAAAACAAAAGAGAAAATTAACAAAACAAGGCTGTTTCACCACGAGCATATCTCGTTGTAGATCTGATCATTGGGTACCAAGTCCCCTTCCCTCCCTGGCAGGCATGACCGCATGCCTAACATCAGAATAGATTGAAACGCACCAACACGAAACAGAACAAAACTGTTTCACCATGAACGCACCTCGTTGTAGATCTTATCATTGGGTACGAAGTCCCCTTCCCTCCGTGGCATGACATGCACATGCACATGCGCCACTGTCTGTCCCGCTGCTGGCCCATCCTAAAGGGAGAGCAAGTCACAGATACACACGGAGAATTGACATGGGAACTCTTGAATGATGGCTCTCTGAGCACGCCCATGCCCATGCCCATGCCCATGCCCATGCACATGCATGTGCACGTGCACGTGCACATGTGCGTGCACATGCCCTGCTGTCTGCCCTGAATACGAACAAGACGGAGACATGGAGGGAAGGGGGGGGGGGAGAAGAGCGATGGTTAAGATGACTCTTAAAACCAGCTGTGCACATGCTCTTAAAACCAGATGTGCACATGCGTCACTATCTGCCCTGCATTCGAACTTCACGCAGACATGGAGGGAAGGGGGTAGTGAGAGAAATTGTTAACACGACTCTTAAAACCAGCTGTGCACATGCGTCACTGTCTGCCCTGCTATTGGCCCCTCCTGGTATGCGAACAGGCAGGTAGAGGGAGGGGTGAGAGTGCAAGTAAGTAGAACTTTCAGAAGATGCGTCAACTGCTTGTGCACATGCTTTCCGAAGAGGTTTCTACCCACTCGTTACTGTCTGACTGAGAAATGTAAAATCAGTATGTCTGTGACAGTAGTACCGTGAGGATCATGCTACCAACCTATTATCATCGCACCTGCATCATGCTACCAACCTATTATCATCACACCTGGACAATGGCCACACCAGGTAAGCATCATGCGACCTTCTGATTATCATCACCACAGCATGGTGAGGCTCAAACTCTTGCTGCTGCTGTCGCGACACAGACAGAACGGTGCTTGAATGCGTAACACTATCATACCTGGATGGTGTAGCATACGTGACACCCCATCACCGCACCTGGATGGTGTAAGTGGGGGAGGTGCATCCGTGGTGGGGCTCAAACGCCTGCCCAATCCTCTGAGCCAGCAGCCACATGTCAGTGTCCTGTGTATGAACGAGTGTTTTGAGACGTCTCAAAACACGCCTGCCCAATCCTCTGGGCCAGCAGCCACATGTCAGTGTCCTGTGTATGAACGAGTGTTTTGAGACGTCTCAAAACACGCCTGCCCAATCCTCTGAGCCAGCAGCCACATGTCAGTGTCCTGTGTATGAACGAGTGTTTTGAGACGTCTCAAAACACGCCTGCCCAATCCTCTGGGCCAGCAGCCACATGTCAGTGTCCTGTGTATGAACGAGTGTTTTGAGACGTCTCAAAACACGCCTGCCCAATCCTCTGAGCCAGCAGCCACATGTCAGTGTCCTGTGTATGAACGAGTGTTTTGAGACGTCTCAAAACACGCCTGCCCAATCCTCTGGGCCAGCAGCCACATGTCAGTGTCCTGTGTATGAACGAGTGTTTTGAGACGTCTCAAAACACGCCTGCCCAATCCTCTGAGCCAGCAGCCACATGTCAGTGTCCTGTGTATGAACGAGTGTTTTGAGACGTCTCAAAACACGCCTGCCCAATCCTCTGAGCCAGCAGCCACATGTCAGTGTCCTGTGTATGAACGAGTGTTTTGAGACGTCTCAAAACACGCCTGCCCAATCCTCTGGGCCAGCAGCCACATGTCAGTGTCCTGTGTATGAACGAGTGTTTTGAGACGTCTCAAAACACGCCTGCCCAATCCTCTGAGCCAGCAGCCACATGTCAGTGTCCTGTGTATGAACGAGTGTTTTGAGACGTCTCAAAACACGCCTGCCCAATCCTCTGGGCCAGCAGCCACATGTCAGTGTCCTGTGTATGAACGAGTGTTTTGAGACGTCTCAAAACACGCCTGCCCAATCCTCTGAGCCAGCAGCCACATGTCAGTGTCCTGTGTATGAACGAGTGTTTTGAGACGTCTCAAAACACGCCTGCCCAATCCTCTGAGCCAGCAGCCACATGTCAGTGTCCTGTGTATGAACGAGTGTTTTGAGACGTCTCAAAACACGCCTGCCCAATCCTCTGGGCCAGCAGCCACATGTCAGTGTCCTGTGTATGAACGAGTGTTTTGAGACGTCTCAAAACACGCCTGCCCAATCCTCTGAGCCAGCAGCCACATGTCAGTGTCCTGTGTATGAACGAGTGTTTTGAGACGTCTCAAAACACGCCTGCCCAATCCTCTGGGCCAGCAGCCACATGTCAGTGTCCTGTGTATGAACGAGTGTTTTGAGACGTCTCAAAACACGCCTGCCCAATCCTCTGAGCCAGCAGCCACATGTCAGTGTCCTGTGTATGAACGAGTGTTTTGAGACGTCTCAAAACACGCCTGCCCAATCCTCTGAGCCAGCAGCCACATGTCAGTGTCCTGCACCCACTGACATGCCATTACCCTACCTGAATGTTCCACCCACATGCCATTACCCTACCTGAATGTTCCACCCACATGCCATTACCCTACCTGAATGTTCCACCCACATGCCATTGCCCTACCTGAATGTCCCATCCACATGACTCAAAAGCCACTATCAGCACACCTGGATGGTGTACGTAGATGACGCGCAGCCATGGTGGGTTTCAAATGCCTGCCCAACCCTCTGCGCCAGCAGCCACATGTCAGTGACCTCGTCGGGAGTCATGTCCTTGTAGCGAGGCACCACGCGCCGAGGCAGCACCAGCACGTGACCTGCGAGGAAGAGTAGGAGCGGCGGGGGAAACGAGGAGCAACAGGTGTGGTTTGAATCGCCTCGCCTCAGCAGCCACATGTCAGTGACCTCCTCGGGAGTCATGTCCTTGTAGCGTGGCACGACACGGCGAGGGAGCACGAGCACGTGACCTGCACGAAAGAGTAGAGCAACAGCAGCAACAAGGAGTAGAAAAAAAGGGGGGGGGGAGGGGGGGAGGGTTTGAGTCGACTCAGCAGCCACATGTCAGTGACCTCCTCGGGAGTCATGTCCTTGTAGCGAGGGACCACGCGCCGAGGCAGCACGAGCACATGCCCTGCGGAAAAGCAAAACAACACAAACTCCAAAGATTCTAGGCTGAATGTGCAGCGAGGGCCGATATGGAAAACAACAGCAGGTTGGAGCAATTTACAAATGGTCACTTTAATGAAACTTTTTCTAAGTGTAGCATGATTTTCTCACCCTTGACGACGGGCTTGAAGTTGACTATAGCGAGGGACAGCTTTGTTTCAGCGAACACCTCTCTGGGGTCCAAATCCCACCGTCCGAACTTGATCTTCGTCGCTGACGTGTCCGCTGGCGCGGCTGACGTGGACGGTGGCACGTCTGAAGTGGCTGCCATTGCTCTCGCCTTGCAAGAAAAGGAATCAAAATTTCGACTCAGGGGGGCAAATCCACGCTTGAGGATTAGACTGGTGGAAGGAGCAGCGGCGCCCAATAGGAGCTTCCTGAATGGAACAGTGGTGCCAAAGAGGATTCGACCGACCCCTAATCGGAGAGGCAAAGAGTGAGCCGTGGTGGCAAACTTGGGGGGGGGGGGGGGGGGGGGACAAGCTAAGGGGGAAAACCAAACGCGCACGGCGCGTGCTTTACGCGCGAGTGAAAGGCGCGAGCGGGGGATGATGGCAAGGCAAGGCAAGCCAAGGCAACAACGATTAGCTGGAAATGCGCGATGGAGTTTCCAGGGGTGATGATGGGCCAGCTCTGGTTGTGACTGACTGGCCCTGTTCGATAGCCAGCCTAGCCCTTGGAGGGCTAGGGTTTGGCTAGTGTTAGGGCGCGTGTGATCTCTAGATTTTTTACAAAGTTCGAGCTCAAAACCGCTTTGCACCGTGGCGAAAAATCTCTCATTTGTATCTTACCGTGTAGAACCTTTCTAAAAATCGAACTTTGGGAGTTCGAAAAAAGATCACACGCGCCCTAAGGGCGTGTGTGATTTTGCCGAACCTGACTGAAAGTTCGAACTTTTAAAACGGTTCGTCACGGTGAAATACAGGTAAGAACGTTTTGCCACGGTGCAAAGCGGTTAGAGTTCGAACTTTGTCAGGTCCGGCAAAATCACACACGCCCTAAGTGGGAGTTTTCTGGGGTTGACGTGCCTGTGCATATGTCGTTTTCTTCTGGCCATTTCACTTCAAAACGTTCACAAACGGTACTGTACGGTATCTTGAGTCCAGTGTGACGATCAATTCCACCTGGGGTACAGTACACTTGGGCCTGTCACAGTGGCACGCCCTGTCAGAGCTTTCCCGCGCAGCCAGAAACTTTTGAAGCCGAATGCCATTTGTCAAATGGCGAGGCGAGGCGAGGCGAATTGTCAGGAGGCTACTGAAGCGCGCATCAACGATGTCGGGTGGGGCTGTCAAGGGGGGATGTATCGTGTATGGCGTCGCCCCGGCAAAAGTTCCTTGGCGTGGCGACGTTCGCGAGCCTGAATGGAGAGAGGGGTGGCCATGGAGTCGCAGCTGCCATGCGATGTCGCTATCGATCGCCATATCCGCACTTGCTTGCAGCCTCCAGCTGATGGTTTCGCGAACTCGCCAGGTCTCCCTCCGACATCAGTTCGCGAGTGCTGCGATCTCTGTCAACTCTGCGACGCGACGCGCGTTCCCCTCCCCTTGTTCTGGAAAATCGAGACAGGACAGGGGATGGTTGGGCAAATCTGTGGGTTTCTGTGGCGCGCATGCAGCACGGTATGACTAGGTTTATTATTATTTCAACGTTTGAAACAAAAATCTTTGTTCGGTTCTGTGAGGTACCAAACTGAAAGCGTACAACTCAGCGGGCGACTCGTGTATCTCAATGGAGCTGCCACGCCAAGAAACTTGTGCGGACTGAAACCAAGGACTCCAAGGTTCATGAGAGCCTCTGCTGTACTGTATACACTAGCCTCTGCTGTACCCGCAAACCCAAGAATTCGCTGTAAGATCTTGCAGAAAGCCAGCGGAAGCTCTTAGAGAGGTTCTGGTTAGTGGTCACTTTTGTATGGAAAGGGTAGGGAAAGGATCATGAGGGAGAGCTGACCTAATTCCAAACTCGCGATAGTTTTGCAGATTCGGAACCCACAATATTATTCATGGTTCTATGCGGACAGCCAACTGGCGGCACTAATCGGCTTCGCCCAGCATAGGTGACTAGTGGTCATAATAATCCGAGGAGTACAACTGATTGTCATTGCGCCTGCAGCCGCTCGCCGTCAGCAGCGCTTTGCCTAGGCACGTAAAGCATATCGGCAGCTTAGGTGATCTGCCCAGCATAGCTAGTCGACTCAGAAATCACTTGGAGCGTGGCGTCAGCTTAGGAGAGTAGTTATCAAAATGTATTTGAGAATTATTGGTGCCTAGTAGGTGGTTTCGGCTAAATCAACATCCATCTTGCACAAACTCATCGGTACCAGCAAACTCGACGTCACCAACTCCGCTCCAGAGCCAACTCATCTTGTTGTCGCTTCAGGAGACGATAACAAGTTTTGAGACGTCTCACAGTTCAAGAGCAAGCTCATCTCGTTGTCGCTTCAGGAGACGAGAAGATGGAGGTGGCCTCGTCGACGCGATCGCGACCGACGGCGCTGTCAGTATCGTTAGCGTCGGCTCCTAGCGAGGCTTCGGGAGTTACGCACACGCGACGGCCGCCAGGTACGATCGCACAGTGTGATCCAGGTACGGTGTGATCCAGGTACGGTGTGATCCAGGCATGGTGTCATCCAGGTGTGATCCAGGTACGGTGTGATCCAGTTACGGTGTGATTCAGGTACGCTGTGATCCAGGTACGGTGTGATCCAGGTACGATGTGATCCAGGTACGGTGTGATCCAGGTACGGTGTGATCCAGGTACGGTGTGAGTCGGGTGCAGTGTAATTCAGTACGCTCGATCGTTTTTCTTCGTTCGTTCTTCGTTAGTTGCTCCTCGCTCCATACCCTATCCTCATAGTCCATTCTCGTTTGCTCCGTGTAATGCGCTCGCCCTGCTACAGCCAGCGGGAATGTTCCCAACGGCTCACCTCTCAGCACCCCTCCCAACCGATCCCGATCTCGCTCCCTCTCGGCTCTGGCGGCGGCCATGGGCGGTGGGAAGGCAGGCGGAGCCGGGATTTGCGGAGGAGCTCGGTGGCATGCTACCTGGTCGGCGGCGCTGGTGCTTCTAACGATACTGGGATTTGCGACGTGGGATTCGTTTCACGCCAGCAATCGGACGAAATGTAAGTTTCTCAGCATGCGGTGGTTGTTGTTGTTGTTGTTGTTGTTTGTTTTTTTTTTTTTTTTTTTTTTTTTTTCCTCTCTTCTTTTCTTTTTTTCTGGTGTTAGGAACGCCTTAAACATATTCATCCGCATGTCTGCGTGCTTAAGAGAGCACGCTTATGGGTGGCTGGAACCAAGCAATCCGCTGTGACTTCTGAAAAGTGGCTTCTGAAAAGTGGCTTTTGAAAAGTGGCTTCTGAAAAGTGGCTTTTGAAAAGTGGCTTCTGAAAAGTGGCTTTTGAAAAGTGGCTTTTGAAAAGTGGCTTCTGAAAAGTGGCTTCTGAAAAGTGGCTTTTGAAAAGTGGCTTTTGAAAAGTGGCTTCTGAAAAGTGGCTTTTGAAAAGTGGCTTCTGAAAAGTGGCTTTTGAAAAGTGGCTTCTGAAAAGTGGCTTTTGAAAAGTGGCTTCTGAAAAGTGGCTTTTGAAAAGTGGCTTCTGAAAAGTGGCTTTTGAAAAGTGGCTTCTGAAAAGTGGCTTTTGAAAAGTGGCTTTTGAAAAGTGGCTTCTGAAAAGTGGCTTTTGAAAAGTGGCTTCTGAAAAGTGGCTTCTGAAAAGTGGCTTTTGAAAAGTGGCTTCTGAAAAGTGGCTTTTGAAAAGTGGCTTCTGAAAAGTGGCTTTTGAAAAGTGGCTTCTGAAAAGTGGCTTTTGAAAAGTGGCTTCTGAAAAGTGGCTTTTGAAAAGTGGCTTTCAGAAGTTGGTTTTTGAAAAATGGTTTTTGGAAAGTAGCTTTTTAATAACGGCTTTTGGTGCCGATTAACAGCTGTGAAGTATCATCTATGTTTGTGTCTATGTTTGAACTGGATTCAGTTCTCGCCTCATTATTAGCCTCCACTTTCCTCCGCCATACATTCCCGTCAGCCAAACCGCCCGCTCCGCACTCACTCCCCTTCGCTCGCCTCTGCTCCAATCTCCCTCCACCCGCGCTCCTTCTCTTTTTTTTCTCTTAAATTCTCCTCCAACCTTCCTCTCCCTCATCCCTCTCCCCCATCCTTCTCCCCCATTCCTCTCCCTCATCCCTCTCCCCCATCCTTCTCCCCCATCCCTCTCCCTCATCCCTCTCCCCCATCCTTCTCCCCCATCCCTCTCCCTCATCCCTCTCCCCCATCCTTCTCCCCCATCCCTCTCCCTCATCCCTCTCCCCCATCCTTCTCCCCCATCCCTCTCCCTCATCCCTCTCCCCCATCCTTCTCCCCCATCCCTCTCCCTCATCCCTCTCCCCCATCCTTCTCCCCCATCCCTCTCCCTCATCCCTCTCCCCCATCCTTCTCCCCCATCCCTCTCCCTCATCCCTCTCCCCCATCCTTCTCCCCCATCCCTCTCCTTCATCCCTCTCCCCCATCCATCTCCTTCATCCATCTCCTTCATCCCTCGGCCGCCTCATTGTAGGGTGGAGGAGAAGCGAACTCGTGATTCTCGACAAAGGATCCGTCTCCTCATCTTCTTGTAGTCACAGCTCGTCTTTTTACAATCACGGAGTTTCCCTGCATAGCCAACAACAAGAGGAGTCGAATGAGCAGGTTGGAGAGGTGCTGTCCGCTAGGTCTCCCCTAAGAGCTGACTCGGTAGCTGTACTAGCTAGTGGTTTGAGAAAAGGCTTAGCTAGTCAGCCTAGGGAAGAAATTGACGGAAACGAAGCTGGTTATTCTAGCGGTAGTGATAGAAGCGGTGGAGACGGTGGTGGGGGTAATGAGAAGGAGGAGGCCGTTTCCAATGGCGCTAATGAAGCCTTTTCCACCGCCAACAGCAGCAGCAGTGGTAGGAGCAGCAGCGACAGCGCAAGAAGCAGCAGTAGTGGTAGAAGCAGCAGCGACAGCGCTAGAAGCAGCAGCAGCAGCAGCAGCAGCGTCTCCTCTTCTGCCTCCTCCCCTTCCGATTCTACTCACAGTTCCACCTCCTCCCCCCCCTCCTCCCCTTCCTCCGCCTCCTCCCCCGCCGCCACCTCCCCCGCCGCCGACTCCTACGCCTCCCCCGCCGTCCCCGCTGTCCCCGCTGTCCCCGCTGCCCCCGCCGCCCCGCTGTGCGACCTGTACCACGGGCGGTGGGTGCGCATGCGGCAGCGCGCGCTGTATTCGGGGAAGAAGTGCAAGTGGATTTCACTCAACTGGGCGTGCGCGCGCAGCAACCGCCCGCGCGAGATGCGCCAGTACGAGCGCCTGCGCTGGCAGCCGCGCGGGTGCAACGTGAAGCGGTTCAGCGCGGAGGGCTTTTTCCGCAGGTGAGGGGGAATGGGGGCAGAGCTGGGGGGATGGTGTGGGGGGTCCATAAGTGCAAGTACGAGCGCTTGCGCCGACAGCCACGCGGGTGTAACGCGAAGCGGTTCAGCGTGGTGGGCCTTTTTCCACAGGTGAGGGATGACGGAAACCGCTGGGTGGGGCTTGAGTTGGATGGCCTGGGTGGTTCATAGATAGAGATTGGGGTTAAAAATAGCCTGGGTGGTTCATAGATAGAGATTGGGGTCGGAAATGGCCTGGGTGGTTCATGCATAGAGATTGGGGTTGGAAATGGCCTGGGTGGTTCGTAGATGGAAAACGCGGTTGGGTAGTTTGAGGGGTCTAAATACGTTGGTGTGCAGTTTCCTAAAGGTGGGAGGTAGTGGGGGTGGGTGATTCGAGGGACAGAGTGTGATATTTGCGAGAGGAAGGCGAGACGGACAAGGGAAGAGTGATTCGCGAGGGCGACTCCTTGGGCCAGCTACAGTTCCTTTATGTTCCTTGCACACTCACTCCCCCTTCCTTTTCCCCTCCTCCTCCTCCTATCCCCCACTTCCTGCCCTTTCTGAATGCGCAACAAGCGCCTTGGCTTTGCGGGAGGCTCGCTAGGCCAGCAGCAGTTGCTTCCTGTTCCCCATCTGCTCCCCTTCCCTGCCACCTTTCCTCCCCTCCTTTTTCCGCATCTCCACTCCCCGTTCCCCCCTACACCACTCCTGCCAAAATGCGCAAGAAACTCTCCTCCCCCTTCACCTCCTTTTTCCGCATCTCCCCTCCCCCTTCCTCCCCACGCTTGCCTGTGTGGGGAACTCCCTAGGTCGGCAGCACTCGCTTACCCTAGACTCTGTCTCTGCCCTTCCTGCTTCTTTTTCCCATCCACCCCCCCCCCCCCCCCCCCCCCCCCCCCATTTGCAGAATGCGCAACAAAAGCCTTGCCTTTGTGGGGGACTCCCTGGGCCAGCAGCAGTTTCAGTCGCTTCTCTGCCTGCTCTCCCCAAAAGGCCCGCCCAAAAACATGTCCGACCCCTCATCCCCCATCCAAGACGTGGGCCCGGATTACGGTTTTTTTCAGCTGCCCGGAGCCCGCCGTCCGAGCGGGTGGGCATACAGATTCGTGAAGTATAACACTACAGTGATTTTCCGCTGGACGACGTGCTTATGCGAAATCGAGCCGTTCAATAAGGAGGACTGGAAGCAGGGGCAGGCGATGCACTTAGACCGGCCCGACCCTTTCTTAAGAGACTTTCTTAAGCAGCTGGACGTCGTCATTCTGAACACGGGGCATCACTGGAACCGGGGGAAAATGAGAGAGTATGCGCTGGAGTTTTTCCTGAATGGGAGCCGGGCACCGCCCGTAAAAAGGAGGCCAATGGTCATGGCGCTGGCGCTGAAAATCGCGATCAGGTCGGTGTCTGTGTGGATCGATGAGCAGCTGAAGGGGAGCGGGGGGGAGGGAGGTTTGCTGGTGAAGCCAGGGGGAGGAAAGGGAGAGGGAGAAGGGGAGGGAGGAGAGGGAGAGCTAGAGGGGGGAGATGGAGGAGGGGATGGAGTGAGGCGGCAGTTGGGTTCAGGTGTGGAGCTTCCAGCTTTTGCGGCGGGTGGGGGTGCGAAGTTGAAGACGGCGATTTTTGCGACACCGGACACGAAGCCGATGGTGTTTCTGCGATCGATTACGCCGAGGCATTTCATGGAAGGGGAGTGGGACACCGGAGGGCGATGCGACCATCTCAAGGTACGAAGTGATAGTGTTTTTGTGAAGAGTTGGTTATACATTTTTGTGTATATATAACATGTTTGCGATGATTTTGTCACATCCATACGATGCCTCACGAGTCGCTGATGTGGATATAGACCACTCTTCTTTTCTGGTTTTTACCACTGTACATGCAGCATCCCTTTGGGGATGTGGAGGTGGCCAATATGACAACAAGGGACGCTGAAAAGGAGGACGGAGTGTTGGGAACTTCAGTACACCTATTGAACATCACGCACCTGTCGGCGTACCGTGGCGACGCACACCCAGCCATCTGGGATCCCCGATCCGATACACCCAAGGGGCAAGACTGCCTGCACTGGTGCTTACCTGGCGTTCCTGACACGTGGAATGAGCTGGTTTACACACACATTGTGGAGAGGGAAAGACTGGAGAAGCGGGTTGTCCTGTAAGTGATGTAAAGGACTCTCCTCTACTTTACAGGAACTGGGATTTGTACTAATCACTAGAGCTCTCAAAGTCTACATGCAACGGAATGATTGGAATTAGGGTTTGCAAGCATACAAATAGGAGTCCTACAAATGTTGTACCCTTTAGGGAGTGCCTCACTGCAGCCTATCATAACATTAACATTTGACACACCCCCATAGGCTAAGTGAGGGACACCAGGGCAAGCAAGGTGAAAACAAACGGTCACAAGACCAGTCAAGGCAAGACAAGCTCAGGGTGGAGCTCAAGGACACCACACAAATTCCGAGCACAAGCAAGCGGCCACAAGGCCAGTTCAACAGTTCACTAGGATATAAATATGAAAACACAACAAGCAGAGCAAGCAACAAGACTACAGCAACCGGGGGCCTACCTCAACAAGCCCCAACTGCACACAGAACCTGTGGTGATCACCAGGCGCCAAGGCCTTGGTGAAGACGTCTGCAGTGTTGGCCTCTGAGGCCACAAAGTCCAGGCGTGCCTGGCCGCGTCGCTGCAGCTCTCGCAGGAGGAAGTACCTCACGTCAATATGCTTTACTCTGCTCTCCAGTCGCGGCTCTCGACACAGGAGGATCATGGCCTTGTTGTCAGCGTACAAGGTCGGTGCAGAACGAGGCCGCTCACCAAGGTCGGTGAGCAAGAAGGTCAACCAACGAAGCTCCTGTGCCGCCATGGCACCAGCGTAGATCTCTGCCTCTGCACTGGAAGTAGCCACAGACGACGACCGAGTAGACCTCCACGACACAGCACCAGCTCCCAGACTGAAGCAGTAACCCTGAGTCTCCACGTCGTCAGCGTAGGAAGAGTCGCAGTGCCCAGTCAACGCCACTGGCTGAGTCCCTCCAAGCACAAGCCCCATGCCTGATGTAGTCGCCAGGTACTTCGCCACCCTCACAGCAGCTGTCCAGTGGACAGGACGGTGTCTCCCAGTCGCAACAAAGCGAGAGAGGACGCTGAGGGGAAAGGCGAGGTCCGGCCGAGTACAAGTCATCAGGTACATGAGGCAGCCCACCAGCTCTGCGTAGGGACCACTGGACTCAAAAGGCTCGTCGGGAAAGGGGCCAGTGAGTCTGTGGTCAACAGCAAGAGGAGTGGGCTGTGTGGTGGAGAACTGGAAGTCGAACCGCCGAAGGACCTGCTGCACCATGTGTGACTGCGTCAGTGTGATGGTGCGAGCGGCTCTGTCCCGGGTGATCTGCAAGCCAAGGTAACGCTGCAGCTCACCCAGGTCAGTGCACTTGTGTCTCTTCTGCAGTTCGAACTTCACCTGAGCCAGGGCTGCCCTGTCTGCTGTAGCAAACACCAAGTCGTCGACGTAGACAAGGATAAAGAAAGGAGTAGAACCCGCTCGAACAAACAGCGACGGGTCGGCGGAGGACGGGCTGAACCCAAGGTCACGAAGCGTGGAGCGAAGAGTGTCGTGCCACTCACGGGGCGACTGGCGGAGACCGTAGACTGGTCGCCTCAGGCTCCACTGGGTCCCTGGTGGGAAGGTGTCAGTGAAACCAGGAGGACGGCGCAGCCAGATCTCCTCGTGCAGTCGGCCCTGGAGGAACGCAGTGGAGAAGTCGAGGGAGTGCAGCTCGTAGTCTCGCTGCGCTGCTATGTGGAGTAACACCCGAAGAGTAGTCATCTTCGGGGTCGGGGCGAAGGTCTGGAAGAAGTCAACTCCCTCACGCTGACTGAAGCCCCTAGCCACGTAGCGCGCCTTGAACACCGGCGGTGCTCCAGGCGGCCGCTTCACCTTGAAGAGCCACATGCCATCGACTACGTTCGCCCTGGGAGGGGGAACTGCGTCGACGTAGGTGCCTGTGGATCTCCAAGACGCCAACTCTGAGTCCATAGCCGCTTTCCACTGAGAGGCCCACGCCCCTGACACTGCCTCGCGGTAAGTGCGAGGAGTCGGTATGTCAAGGGCGTCGGGGTCTCCCTCAGGGGAGAGCAGCATGGCACACACAGAGGGAGAAGCGGCTGCCCAGTACTCCAGCTCAGACTCTCTGTCCTCTAGGACGTCACAGCCAAGGGCAAACTCACCCCCGACGGACAGAGGACGGTAGGGAGGAGCTGGCACCACACGGGTGGCGTAGTCAAGGCGGCTGGCGGCAGCAAACTCAGCGACAGCGGCAGTGAGAGCAGAGACCGACGACGGAGGGAAACGAGAGTCGGTGACAAGAGTGGCGAGGACACGTGCGGCAACAGGACGAACAGCGCGGTAGTAGTCGGTGATAGGAGTGGGGAGGGAAGGGAGAGAGGACGGAGGAGGAGACGGGAGAACGGACTCAGGAGAAGGAGAACGACGACGAGACGAACAAAGGAGGGCAGTGTGGAGGTCAGTAACAGGGGACGAGTGACGAGCACGCGGCGAACAACGGGTGACCAAGTCGCGACGGACAGAAGGAGGAGGAGACTGTGGAGGAGGAGAAGACCAGACCGCCGGACGGTCGTCAGGAGGAGGCAACGGAGAAACAAACACAGGAGGAGACTGGGAGCGGACAGGAGGAGAGGAGGAAAGGCCAAGGGCCCGCAGGCCACTCACAGGTGGGAACAACTGCCGCTCAAGAGGAAGCTGCGGAGGCGGCTGCTGCTGCTGCTGCTGCTGCTGCGGCTGCGGCTGCGGCTGCGGCTGCTGCTGCTGCGGCTGCTGCTGCTGCTGCTGCTGCTGCTGCTGCTGCTGCTGCTGCTGCTGCTGCTGCTGCTGCTGCTGCTGCTGCTGCTGCTGCTGCTGCTGCTGCTGCTGCTGCTGCTGCTGCTGCTGCTGCTGCTGCTGCTGCTGCTGCTGCTGCCGCTGCTGCTCCAGAAGGTCCAGCACCCGCAGCTCCTGCCGCTCCCTCTCCAGCCGCTCCTGCTCCTCACGCTCACGCCGACGGGCAGCCTGGAGACGCGTGTCGTGGCGGTGGGGAGGCGGAGTGGACTCCGCAGAACCAGGGCCTCCAGCGTCAGTCTCCTCAGACTCAGCTCCCCCAGAACTAGCACCGCCAGCGCCAGCACCTCCAACTCCAGCACCCCCAGAACTAGCACCTCTAGTGCCAGTACCTCCAGCTCCAGCACCCCCAGAGCCAGCGCCACCTGCGCCAGCACCTCCAGCTCCAGCACCCCCAGAGCTAGCGCCGCCTGCGCCAGCACCTCCAGCTCCAGCACCCCCAGAGCTAGCGCCCCCAGACCGAGCACCGCTAGAAGCTGCACCTCCAGCTCCAACACCAACCGAGTCCACAGGAACCTGTCGCGGAAGCGCCGAAGGCTGCTGAGGGGGCTGTGAGGAGGACTGCGGGGAGGGAGACGCTACCTGACGCGCGACCGAGGGTAGAGGGGTAGCGTGAGACACACCAGACGGGGCAGGACCAGGGGGGGGCAGGGGTACCGGAGGAGCGGGAGCAGGAGGAGGAGAGGGTGCGAGGAAAAGAGGGGGAGGGGGTACCGGGAGACCTCGACAAGGGTACCGGGTGTAGTAGGACACGGACTCGTCAAACCGGACGTCACGGGAGTCTAGGAACTGGTGGAGGGGCGGGTGGTAGAAGGACCAGTCGGCCGAGTCTACCGGGAAACCAAGGAAGACACAGGGAATGGCGCGTGCCGAGAGCTTGTCCGCAGAGGTGTCGCGGACCTGCGCAAGGCAGCCCCAGACTCGAAAGGCCGACCCGACACCAGGGGAACCAGTCCAAAGACTGGTCGGTGAAGCCTCGGGCCGCGAGACACGCGGCTGGAGGTTCAGCTGGTGTGCGGCGTAGCGAACCGCGTGGGGCCACAGAAAATGGGGCGCACGGGCATGGATCATGGACGTGCGGGCGATGTCCATGACCAAGCCTATGCGGCGCTCAGCAACCCCATTCTGCTGTGGGGACTCTGGCAGAGTCCAGGACTGGGTGATGCCCTGTTCGCCGCAGAATCCGCCGAGAATGCCGGAGCGAAACTCGCCCCCACGGTCGGAGTGGAGACAACTGACTCGACGACCACGAGTGCCCTCAGTGGCTAGAAGCCACCTGATCAGCGTAGCAGTCACCTCGGACTTCTTCGCAAGAGGGAACACTGTGGTGTACCTGGAGAAGTCGTCGACGACCACCAGAAAGTAACGCTCCCTCCCAGACCCCTGCGTCGGGGCAGGGCCCCAGACGTCCAAGTGGAGAGTCTCGAAGGGAGCGGTGGCCGGACGAAGGGAGGAGGAGTGGGGAGTGGCGCGTAAGCGACCGGCGACGCACGGAGAGCAAGGAGGGGCAAGCGAGAGAGGGAGCGACGGGAAGGTGCGTGGGAGACCTGTGACTAGTCCGTGACTGAGCATGCCACGAAGGCGAGGGATCGACGGGTGGCCAAGACGGTGGTGCCACAGAACGGTGCGGTGGGCGAGAGAGCGACAGGAGCAAGACGCAGCGACTGGACTGGACACAGCGACCGGACTGGACACGACTACCTGGCTAGACACAGCCACTGGACTGGGGACCTGGGTCGGAGGGGACGCAACAACCGGAGGGGAGGACGCGACCGGGGAGCGCTCGGTGTGGAGAACGTAGAGACCGGAGCGGGGCTCCCTGGTGAACGTGGCCAGAACAGCACCTGTGGTAGCGTCAGTACAGACTGCAGTCCGCCCACCCCCCAAGAAGGTAACCGTGATCCCCCTGTCCTGAAGGTATCCAACACCCACCAAGTTCCGAGTGAACGAGGGGATGTGGAGGCCACGCAGGACACCAGAGGGGACCACAGGGCACGGGAGGGTGGTGGAGCTACGCGCAACGGCTGGTCCAGAGGTAGGATCAGCCAGAGCCACCGACACAGGTGTGAGGAGAGGCGTAAGGGTCGTGCGGTCGCGGAAGAAACACTGAGACGCGCCCGAGTCCAGCGTGAACGAAAGAGAGGCCTCAGCCGGTGGGTCACTCGACCCAGTCGCTACACAAGCACCTAGAGCAGCAACACAAGCACCTAATCTAGACAGGCACAAGGCTACACTAGCAGGAGGCAAGCAGTCTAACCTACG